TCAAGGAAGTATCTCCATTCTTCCTTCTTGCAGTTGCAGAAGTTCAGCGCTGAGCCGCTTCTCTCCTCACACCTTTCTTCACGCGAGAAAGGCTTTGAAGGAGAGTAAAGCAATCCTTCGTGAGGTATAAAGGAACAGGAAACGATATGGACAAAACCGCACTGATGGCAACGGAGCAAAGGGCCGGACATTAGGGAATCGTCCTCAATTCACAGTAGTTGTACATAAATAGCCTGACACGTTAAATGTCACAGATAGAAGCGTTAACGAAACGCGGAGCATTTGCAGCAGAACAAACACGAGACGCAACGCGGCAGCCAGCAGCGCAGGGCAGCCGCCGCGCCGAAGCCATCCCGTATTTCACAAGCCGCGGGCAAATCCGATTACCGGGATTAGCGCAGCAAAATGGCGGCGGCGCCCTCCCGCCTCGCGCCGGCGGGTCCCGCGCTGCAGGCCGCGCGCCGCTAGAGCCGGCACCTGTCAGTCCGCAGCGGCGGGACGCGCCGCCACCGCTCCGCGCCGCCGCCGCCCGCCCCCCGCCCTGGAAGACCCCGCAGGCGTGGTTCTAATCGCCATGTAGCTCAAAACAGTGAGTTGTTCTGCATTCCGCCGTGACGTTAGCGCTTAATCGTTTCTGTCGGTGCTATGAGAAACCATGCTCTGAGTTAACGCGCGTCGCTGCTTTAGCTCGAGATGCGATCTAGTCCGAGTGCGGCTACTGCCCGTAAACAGGAAGCGTCTTCGAGCTGTCTGCAGCTGACGGGCTGCCGAGCGTTTGATGTTTCAGGAGGCTGTTTCAAGACAGACAAGTGTACTGACGTGAAGCTGCCCCGTCGCGAGCTGGTATCGCGTGTACCTGGTAGGGACCGGCGGGCCGAGCCCTGAGCTGCAGCCGCCGCAGCCTTTTGCTTGCGGCCGCTTTAACCAGAAGAGGGCCCGGGGCTTCTCCTGCGCGCGGCCAGCTCCACCGTGTGGGCAGCGCGGAACCCCGCGGGCAGAGCGGCGCCGGCTGCTCGTTCCGGGCCGGGTGCGGGCGGCCGTCCTGCCGCGGGGACGGGGTTCCCCTCGGCTCTTACGGCGACGGCCATAACTGCAGGAGAAGCGCAAGGCTTCTCTGGGCGCTCGTGAAGCTTTAAGGCTGTTTTCGCTCCGAGGAGAAGCTGTCACAACACGTCTGGACTGGGAGTTGAGGGAATGCGTTAGGGATGTAATAACGACGAAGAGTTAGAAGGCCTTCGGAGCGGTTCCGGTGGCTGTGGAAACCTGCCCGCGCTCACGGTGCTGTACCCGAAGGTGCTCCCCTCCTGCTGTCCGAATAACGAGGCTGAGGGAAGAGGCAGGCTGAAAAACTCATCTGCAGTCTGGAGCACTTGCGAGGCTGCAACGTATAGAAGGAGGAAGTATGACAGGGTAGGCCAGGGTGCAAGAATCAGGAGACTGAAATAGGAGCGTTATCGACGTGCTTATAGAAATCATGGGTCACCATTCAGATGTAGCACTAAGCTGCAAACCATTGCAAGCTATTAAGGATAATTAAGATAATCATTAAGATTTCAGTGCATGCTTGAGGCTGTTGGGAGAGCGAGGGGAGCCCGGAGTGGGTGGCTGTGTGCTGTCTGCCCAGAGGGACCAGGGAAACAAAAACAGCCGTGAAAGCAATGGTTCGACATCAAGTACTGAATTAATATCGCTGTATAAGCGGAGATCAGGATCATAGAGCTGCAGGGCCACTTGTTTTTGTTTGCTTTTTGTTCTGTTTGCTTGGTCTTGATGCCTAACCCTGTTTCCGCTGTAGAGCAAAACTGTCCCTGTAAGACAGTTGGATGCTGATGAATGGTCATCACTGCTTGGGAGAACAGGCTGGAAACAAAACCAAGGTTGCCCTCAAAGTATGTTAGTAGCATAGAATGGAGCTGAATGTAACACTAGTATGGTGTGTTTCCATAGGATGAATACCAGAAGGCAGTAACATCTTCAGAATCCCATGTTTGGGATTAAAAACCAGATAAATTCAAAAACTGATGATATAATTGAATGTAGGGCAGCTTTCTGTTTTTTATTTTCCCTAGGTACAGGCAACTGGCTCTGTTGTTCTGTTAATGCGGCCAGCTGGTCTGTCAAGTTTGGGGTCTGAAGGGGAGTAACAGAGTCTGTCTCCATGTGTCACAGAGTGCACTTTCCTGACAATAGATTTCAAAAGTTTAGCAAGAATAGAAAAAAATATTCCTGGATTGCCACTTTGGTAGTAAAAATTTTCTAATTGTTATAGTTGGTGTTTATAGGCCTGAAAGATTTCTTGTGATCTCTTTGTTCGCTTCAAAATAATATTGATACAAAAATCATCAGTAGCTTCTTCTCTCTGCAGTGCCCGTAAGGAGCTGGCTGATGTAGTCCTTGCAGTTTGCTGTATCATCTATGAGGCATAGCTAGCCACATTTTTATTTGGGTGCATCCATCTCTGAACTGTCTGTTAACTTTTAGTCTCTTCATACAACTGTCCTGTGACAGTATTCTCTTGATGTCAGAAAAGGTAATGATATCTTTCAGTAAACCCAGTGACCAAGAGACACAGAGATCAGTCTTTCCCAATGAATTCTGTATTTCTTGATCACAGTAGCACTTCCTCAGAAATTGAAATGCTTTCCCTGTTTCCGCCATAGTAACTTCAAATGGAATGTAAAGTATTCCTAAAATATTCCATTTGTGTGTGTGCTGGGTAGGGCATTCTGATTTTACAGCATTTTTGACAAATGGAAGAAGCAAGACAGGTAAAAGGAAGTAGAGAATCATTACATGCATGAATAAATGGACTGTTTGGGAATTGCTTATTTGGAGATAGAACCAAAACCCACAGGCTCTAAAACTGTAATTGCTCCAGAGTTTCCTGTATAACTTTACAGTGACATAGGTACCAGATAGTTTAGCTCACAGCAAAAAAAAATTACCTGTCCACAAAGCAAGTGATGGTTTCTGCTATCTTTACAAAAGGAATCTGGTGTTTCACTGAGCATGCCTTTATATCCATGATTCAGAGACAACAAAAGCTGTCAATCTGTGAACATGCAAGTAGAAAATGAAAATACTTCTCTTTTTAGGAGGATACATTTTGGAATATCTAGTTGTATAGTAAAACTTGTACAATGTGTTACCCTAGTGTTTTTAGTAGGCCATGCAGAAACATGCCTTGTAGTAAAAAAAAAAAAAAAAAAAAAAGTCTGATATATTTAGCAAACTGTATGAGATGATGTGTCTTTGAGCTAAAACCAGCTGCTTCCTATACGTAAGCGGCAAGATCCTACAGGATAATTCACCAGGAGGTAGAGCTGCATCGTTTATTTCGTATGCTCAGGAAATAACTCTATCAGTAGCTCCTGTTGTGAAATGTTTTTGATGTCTGACAGTTGGTTTCTAGTGCTGTATCACATGAGCAAGTTAGATGTAATCTCTAACGTTGTCAATGAGAAAAAAGAATCAATTATGCAATAGTGGCTGCTGGCTTGAAAAGAAGTATTATTGTAGTATTCTTTCTGTCATAGACTTCATATGCTAGAAACTATCTACAATTACTTAGGGGGTTTCAGAAAGGAAATAGCTATACTCGGTTCCCACGAGCTTTATGTTATCACGCCAGCTGAATAAATATTTCCTAGGTCAAATAAGTGTAAAGAACAAACATGATAAACCATGATTTAGTAATTAAAAGGAACAAAACAGTGCATTTGCATTTACAGCTAGGGTGAGTGGCCAGATAATTAGAGTGAGTGGCCAGATAATCAAAATAATACCAGTCTACCTTTCTCTCTCAGTTACAGCGATGGAGTGATTTCTTGCTCTCTGTGGCATATATATAAGTGGTGTTTTTGAGAATTTGTAATTTGATTTTTCTGAAGTCTGTGCATTGAAAATTCTCAACTGTTGAACTGTCGTAGGAGTTTTGGCTGTTCACATGGGCAGTACCTCCCTGCTGGAAACACCGGCTATGTTGTAAGGTACAAATGTTACTTCAGAGCTCCATCTTAGATGTACAAAATTGTATCTTGTAGAACTACATTGTGTTGTACATGGTTTTTGTTTTTTTACACGATTTGATTTGCAGTGAAATACATGATGGATTTCTGATGAACTATCCAAAATGCAACTAGACCAGCTAGAGCGAGAATATATCACCCTCACATGAACCTTGTTTTCAACAAAGGATTACTTCTGAATATCTTGAGTGAGAGAGCCAGAGTATTCTCAGTCATTGTTAGTTGTTTATGAAAACTTACCCTGCAACTGGAACTTTATTTCATAGGATCTCAAATCCCTGTTTTAAATACCGTCTTAATAAGATGATCAAATGCAGTTGTGTTTTAAAGTCATTCTATGACTAACAGCCTCAGAAAACAAAGCAGTTGTATCCACAGGATCACGGCAAGTCAACCTTCCCCATAACCACTGCCAAATAGCTCAACCACGTGCTGGGGGAGTTTCCTCAAGGGTTCAGTGAGTCATTTAGAGTGAATCTGGGCAAATAGAGCCACTGGCACAAATGAAAGGTGGCAGAAAGCTGGCAGCTGTGGTTGCCAGTGAAAGGCACTGGGTGGGAGCTAGGCCATGCAGTGCAGGGAAGATCACCTGCCTCTTGCTGAGGAGCTACAGGTGTCCCTGCATCCTTGATCTGTGCATAGGTATCTGTTGAAGCAGTAGCACAGCTGGAATAAAATGGGGAATGCGCAGCTGGTGGATGTGATGATGCATCTAAGATTGTAGAGTCAGTCAGCTGGGAGAAAATGATTTCTACCTGGAGATCACCCTATGTAAATAATCATCCTGATGTTCTGAGAAGCCAGTTTACCTTCGATATCGCTGGCATTTGTGAATCTAAGTAACTTCAACATGAAATGCTATGACAAAAGTTGGTATGTTTAAAAGAAAAAAAAAAAAACAACTGTAAGAGAAATACAGAACTATAAATTTGATATGTAATTTAAACAAATCCTTTTTCTTTTTCCTTGTAGATGACAGTCATGTCCCATTCAAAGGATCTCAAGGACGACTTCCATAGTGACACTGTACTTTCCATTTTAAATGAACAGCGCATTAGGGGTATTTTATGTGATGTCACCATAATTGTGGAAGACACCAAATTTAAAGCCCACAGTAATGTGCTAGCAGCTTCAAGTCTTTACTTTAAAAACATATTTTGGAGTCGTACTATCTGTATTTCAGGTCATGTACTGGAATTAGATGATCTCAAAGCTGAAGTCTTTACAGAAATACTGAACTACATCTACAGTTCCACAGTGGTTGTTAAGAGACAGGAGACTGTAACAGACCTTGCAGCTGCAGGGAAAAAACTGGGAATATCGTTTCTTGAAGATCTTACAGATGTTAACTTTTCAAGCTCCCCCTGCCCTTATGCATACTGTGTAAGTGAGAAAGGGACTGTCAAAGAGGAAAAACATGAAAAGAGACACGAAGACTCCGCTGTGACAAATGGACCACGAATTACAAATGCATTCTCAATTTTTGAAACTGAAAATAGTTTGTTTTCTCCACTTGATTTGAGGGCAAACTTTAAAAAGGTATCTGAGACAATACAAACCCCCAACGTCAGCCTTGACAGAAGCAACACTTGCAAAGATGCAGAGCCAGCCAGTACGCTGGCAGAGCACTCCTACGCTGTTTCTTCAGGGGGGGATACTTTTCAAGGAACGCCTCACTTTGAACAGGAAAGCAGCTCTTCGTACAGTGCAGCTGAAGACCACTATGAAAATGTCCGAGCTACGCCACTCATTCAGCCAGTAAAACAAGCATGTAGTACTACTCCAAAAGCAGCCTTCAAGCCCCAGGGTACCAGTTTGGCTGTAGCAAAAGCACCAGCTTCTACGGTAGCCAATGCAGAAGCCCAGCCTGAAACTGTTAATGATCAGAGGATTATTTCCATTCCAAAACCTCAGAATAAAGCAGGAGATCTCCATTTGTCCAGAGAAGAAGAAAACGCATCTGCTAATATCTCTGGGTCTGTGACAACTGTTGTTCCACCTGCTTACAGCTGTAACTGCTGTGCAAAATCGTTCAGTGACAGGGCGTTACTCAGTACTCATCTTCAACTCCATTCAGAGCATCAGGAAACTTTCATATGCAAATACTGCAGCAAACAATTTGCAAATCTAAATATACTGGAAAGTCATGAACAAGTCTGCATGAGATCAAGTAGCTTATCTGTTCACAGTGGGAATGAACAAAATTTTTCAGATAATTATACTGCTACGGATGGAAGGAATGAGAGTTCATATGCAAACACAGAGCCTCTATTGTCTGAAAACAGCATAACTGATTACTCTAATGCAAACTGTGCTTTACCAGAAACGGATCACTTGGTTAAAGTTGTTGATGGGCAGATATTATATACTTGCATAGTTTGCAAACGTAGTTATGTAACGTTGTCGAGCCTTCGAAGACATGCAAACGTGCATTCGTGGAGAAGAACATACCCGTGCCACTACTGCAACAAAGTATTTGCATTAGCTGAGTATCGCACAAGACATGAGATCTGGCACACTGGAGAAAGGCGGTATCAGTGCATTTTCTGCCTGGAGACTTTCATGACTTATTACATACTAAAAAATCATCAGAAGTCTTTCCATGCAATTGACCATCGTCTCTCAGTAAGTAAGAAGACAGCCAATGGAGGCTTAAAACCAAGTGTGTACCCATACAAACTTTACCGACTTCTGCCCATGAAGTGCAGGCGACTACCTTATAAGTCCTACCGAAATTCTACGTATGAAAACGTTCAAACGAGTAGCCAAGTTAATGAAACTGCTTCTAGTAACTGCTTCCTTCAGAGCTCTCTTAGTTCTGAGCTACCACCGCTGAATTTTCAAAGTAATATATTATCAAACAACAGAACTCTTGTCTTGGACACTTCTTCATGTAATGATACGGCATCTTCCACAAATCCTCAGAACTCTTCCTCTTGGGGAGTAGGTATCTTAAATTCTGATCTGCAAAGAGACTTCTTCACAGCTGACAAAAGAGTTCCCACTGCTACAAAAGACTCTGGTTCTCATGAGTATGATTCCTCAGTTGTGTCTTTAACTAATGTGAACGAAAATTCAACCTCTGTAATCAGTTACAGCAGTTCTGCACCCTCTGTTATAATGCACAGTAGCAGAGTTTCATCAGTAATAATGCACAGTAAAACAATCACTTCTGTAGAAAACAGTAAAACAGATTCTTCTAATGCTGTACCTAGTCAGCCTGTAAGTGATGATTGTAAGAATGGGTCGGATAATTATGGAAAATGTATTACAAAATCAAAACCTATTAAGGAGAAAAAGAAAGCACTGCTGTGCAACAGAGCAGAAGCAGCTGAGGATACGCAGCACGTCCAAGGAACCGGAGGTTCATCTAGCAAAACCACTAATACTGCTGAAGAGTCGAGTAAAACTGAGACTTATATTGCAAAGCCTGCCTTACCTGGAACATCTACTGACAGTAACGTTGCTCCTCTTTGTCAGATAACAGTAAAAATCGGTAATGAGGCTATTGTAAAAAGGCATATATTAGGATCTAAGCTGTTTTGTAAAAGGGGAAGAAAATCTAAACATGAGTCCAAACAGGACAATCTAAATGAGGAATCAGAAACAGAGGTAAAAGAGAAAAGCCCATCAAGGCTGTATAGCTCAGAATGCCTGGAGCTGACAGAAATGTGTGATGATGTAAGTGATCAGGATTCCAGTGATAAACCCTGGAGACCATATTACAATTACAAACCGAAAAAGAAATCTAAACAGCTAAGAAAAATGAAGAAGACCAAATGGAGGAAAAAGCATGGAAGCAGGAACACCATTATGGAAAGTCACAGTCCGTGCAGTCGAGAGTATGCACTCAGGAGTGCTCCTGAAGACAAGGCAATTAGTCAAGAAGAGAACACAGAAATGCCCAGTCTTCATTGTGAGCTCTGTGAAGGAGATCAAAACTCCACTACAGAAACTCAAGAACATGTACATTGGCATGTATCTACTCCAAAGCCTTACATTTGTGAATTATGCCAAAAACAATTTCAAAGTCCATCCACCTTAAAAATGCACATGAGGTGTCACACAGGGGAAAAGCCCTTCACCTGCAAAACCTGCGGTAAATGTTTTTCAGTTCCTGGAAATTTACAGAAACATGAACGTATTCACCTGGGTGTCAAAGACTTTGTCTGCCAGTACTGTAATAAGGCATTCACTTTAAATGAAACACTCAAAATACATGAAAGAATTCATACTGGAGAAAAACGCTACCACTGTCAGTTCTGCTTACAGAGTTTCCTGTATCTTTCCACCAAAAGGAACCATGAGCAAAGGCACATACGTGAGCATAATGGAAAAGGATACGCGTGCTTTCAGTGCCCCAAAATTTGCAAGACGGCAGCTGCTCTGGGAATGCACCAGAAGAAACATCTATTCAAAAGTACGGGTCCACCAGATAGAAAAGAACAGTTCTGCAACGAAAGTGCTCAGCTGTTGGAAAATCAACATTTCCTTGGCTCAGAAAGAAGCGAAGGGAAAACCATACAAAATGTAACTCCAGAAGTTACACTCTGAGTGGCAGTTGTGCAAAAGAGAAGAAAAATACAAAACTATATATTGGAGAAAATGTAGGTTCATTGAATGGGGAAAATTCTCCGCAGAGGTAATTTACGAAGATTAAATGTCTTCATTTAAACACATGTCAATATATGCAAAGGAAAGAAAAATAACGCTGAAAAGAAAAACTAGTATTTGCAATAATACAAACTTAGTTTGAAAGACCCCAAATAGTTTTGCCAGAATAGACTTCTAGCATATGTGTAGAGAGGAAGAAGAAGAAGAAAAAAAAAAAGACCAACGAAACTGCTTCTACTTAAAGCTAGAAGAAACTAGCCACTGAACTGTTCTACAGTGCTGTTTTTCAGTCAGAATCATTCTGGACAAAATGAATATATAAGTTCAAATTATATACTATAGAAGGAATTTTTGCTGCAGAAATCATGTCGCTTTTTTTTTTTCTTTTAAACAAAAGTTAATGTGTTTATAAACAAATCGTGATTTAGTGTATTCTACAGTGAAGATGGGCAATGTTTCATCAGTTTGGGTATGCTGAAGTACAGTTGAGTTTTGGAGTGCTTTTCTGTAACTCAACATTTACAAAACATACACAGAAGTATAAACCTTTTTTCCTTTATGTTTTCAGTTTTGTAGTTACCATAATATGCATTAAGTCTCTGAATGCTTGTGCAGAAAGTATGCCAGATTAGAGGCATCTCTGAAACATTTAATAAAGATTCAGTGCAAATCATAGTAGCCAGTCTTCCAAACGGCAGAAGTTCCAAATGATTGAACTGTAAAGTTATTCAGGTCATCTGTTGAAAGAAAGTTGTTCTCATGAAGTAGTATAGTTTGAAGAACTCTATAAAGCATCCACCTCCTTGTGAGTCTGAAACTCCTGTCTTTTAGAAATATCATTCTTCTCAGCAGAAGGAGATAAGAGTCTTTTTCCACATCCTGGTGTAATGCCTGGACAACAAATGACAGTGCAGCTCACAGAAAATGCTTTGATTTTTGGGAGGAAGAGGTAAATCAGATTCTTGCTTCCAGGTATATCCCTGGGGCAGTTTCCATATATAACAGGGATAGGGCCAATCTGTGGGGTTCCTTGTCATCCCTGTGCCTTAAATGCAATATCAGTACTTTGTGTGTCTCAGCATCTCACCCCAGGCAAGCTTCATCTCAGTGTCCCTTGTCCAAGCACAGTAGGCCCAGAGCAGAGAAGTGCCAGCATCAGGTTACTGGGAGAAGCCACGCTGGCCTTTCTGCTTCCCTTCTGCCACACCAAAATGTCACGGTGAGCCTTCTGGCTGCACAGTTTGCATTCACCAGGAATCAGGAGGGTAAGCTTCTGAAAGAAGACATCACTGAAATTAACAGTACAGTTAATCACATTTTCACAAAATAGTGTTAATTTTAACCAAAATGAAGAGGTTTAAAAAGTTGAAGAGGTTAAATGTCTACCAGTTGCATATTATATCACAGGGCTCTGTTGTACTCTATCTGCACTTCCAATTTGTTATGTACGTTCATTGTTACAAAGTGTTAAAAATGTTTTAAGTCTGGACAATGGTCAGTGAACCTCAATTCTATGTGCAAATATGGTACACAATTTGTTTACTTGGTTTTCCAAAATATTCTAAAGGAAATTATAGCTTGGGTATGATAAAACTACAATTGAAATTATAGTACAGTATAGATTGAAGTAATAATGTAGTCCACTTATTTATCCTGTCATCGACGAACGCTGTGAACCCTTTGAGAAATGTTTGGTTTCACAGCAGTTTTGGTTCCATTTTCAATTAGGATAATAGTAGGATAAACACAGGAAAGTATGATGATGTTTCAAAGAAAGTACACGAAGATATTTTCTAAGTGGACTTGTATGATGATAATTATAGACCAAAGCAAATAAGGTAGAATATTTATACATATAAAGATAATTTTACAGATATTTTATATAACTGTATAGTTCATAAGAAAAATATTGATAGCTTGTGTTAGGTTTGGGGGGGGGGGTTTGTATATTTTGATAAAAACACAATGACTTTGTAACTCTGTATATTATCTACAGTTTATAGCAAAGGAGTTTTAAGATGGCAATGTCATGTTTATAGTTCAATTGTGGCACTTTTACTACAAGTAACACATTGAAGTAATGAGTTAAGTATTAATGACCAAATTAGAATTAAAATAAGTGTAAGAGAAAGTAAATACTGTACGTTGTCAAAGACTGTAATTTGCTGCATCTGTATTTTTGTTTAGAAGAAAATATTAAATGCAGATGTTAAGGATTGATAAAGAGTCTAATTTTATTTTTAGAGAGAGTTATTATAACTGTTTTTGCTTGATTAAAATAACCTCTTCCTATTTTTCTGTAAGTCTCCATTTTTTAAATTAATACTTAATCTCTACAGACAAGAGATATGTATCTTCTACCCAATGTTTCATTATAAGATTAAGCAACAGTTACCAAACACTCCCTCTGTTAAAGTCAGAACAGTGAATTGAAACACGCCAGAGCTCAAGGGAAGTGACAGCATCTGCTGGCATCGTGCAGTGATGGTGAACACTGCTGAGGTGAACAGAATCTCCTGTTCGGTACCTTAAAGGAGTCGAAGACAGGTAAACTGTTTAATGCTTTGCAACATCTTAAACCTGTTTTCATGATGACCCAAAACTTTAAAGATCTTACTTAAAATTAAATTCCAATGGTGTCCTTGTGTTACAGATCGTGTATTTTACGCAATGCACTTCCAAGCACTTGGGAATGCTGCCAATGTGCATGGTTTCTTAATTGCATCAGAGAATATGAAGATATGAACAAAACAGAAAACTCTGTACTCAAAGTACTTCCCCCTTCAGCTAGAAAAACTTAAGTTCAGCATTTAAAGTTAAATTTAAGCTAAATTATTTAGAGCACATTGGGATAATCCTCAGTAGAGATGTGTACTTATACAAAGAAAATCAGAAGTTGGCTACATATATATATTTTTCTGTCCTATTTAAAAATCTAATTAAAAGTTACTTCAAAGAAAGGTGATATTAAGTTAAACAGTGAACTCCAGCTGTCATGCAGCTTTCGAGGGTGTTATGGAAGAACTAAAGTCACATATCTCTAAAATATGCAAAATATCTACAAAATTGTTGCAACACAGCTAACCATACCTCTTCCTTCTCTGATCAGGAGTTTTCCATCCCAAAGCTCTCAACTCTGAGCCTGGGTTCACCACTCACAGGTCAGACAGAGCAGACAACCTACTGGAAGCCAACTGTAGATAATCAAATCCCTCAATCTGAGCTATTGAGGAAGCTGTCACTTCTAGCAGGTAAAAATCAGCTTATGTAAACTCATGTCTTTGTGCAAGTTTGTGTTTTGCATGCATACAAATTCCTACATTATGGGATGATGAAGCAGCTCATTGTCCCCTGAGCCGCTCCTGCCACATTTATCTCTTTTCCTTTAACCTGATATGGAGTGTGGGAATGAAGAGGGAATTTCACAGCTGCTGGAAAACCACCAAGCAATGGGGCTGATGTTTGCCTGACAACCAAATTACAGGGCTCTATGGCATATAATAACAGTGAGATTCATGTGGGAGAAATGAACGGTCATGGAATTACAGCAGATGACTCCAACTAGAGACAAATAATAAACGCTTCCTTGAAACCTTCTAAGTTTTCCTTTAGCAAACTGAAGAGCCTAAGGTGAAAAACGGTAGTCCCCTACTAACTAACTTTCTAAAGGAGCCTTTTCCTTGATGACCAGCTGAATGACCTCTTTGCTGTAGGACTACAGCCACTGCAGGGTTTTGTCGGAACGTGTGTCTGCAGAGCCTAGAGCTGCTTCACCTCCACCTTCAGTGCTGCAGTTCCACTGGACCATTCTGCACACAGGGCTGCAGCTGGGCAGAGTGTGGAGCCCAGGCACACCTGTCATAGGTGCTGGGACCAGGGCTCATTCCAGATGGCAGTGAGATCGCAGGGTTTCAGATTAGGATCCATAGCTTCAGGAAACACTAATGTAAACTGTAATGAAAATTAATTCTTGAGGAGGGTAGGCTGAAGCACTTGTAGTCTACCACAGAATCATGAAGGTTGGAAAAGACCCCTAAGATCATCTGGTCTCGCCATCCGCCTACTGCTAATACTGCTCACTAAATCACGTCCTCAGCGCCATCTACCTGAACACCTCCAGGAACGGTGACTCCACCGTCTCCCAGGGCAGCCTGTCCAAGTGCCCGAGGTGAACGCAGAGGTGAACAAGCAGAGGCCCAGCAGAACCCATCAGGCACCCGCGCTGGAGCTGAGTGCTGCAGCGCACCAAGACCGAAGCAGCTGCAGCTCCGTGACGGCTGCAGAACGCCCTATTAGCGTGACGAGTACGGGAGTCCAACACGCTTCGGCTACGACTTCTGTCTCCTGCGAAAGTAACACACGGGACAAAGATGAGCAGAGCCCCGGGGGCAGTCACAGCGGCCCCGTCAAGCGAGCGCCCAGCGCAAGCTGCACACACGGCAAAGGGCCGGGCGGAACGCGGGCAGAGCGGGGCGGCATCACCCGCCCAGGGCTGCCGGGACACGGACCGAATGCGCATGCGCGCTGCCGCCGCGCGCCTCTCTGTGGCGGCCCCCGAGGGCGGGGGAAGGCGGGGCGGGTGCAGGGCGGGTGTTGGGGTCGCTCCTTCCTCCTCGCTCCTCCCCTGGCGCGCAGTGCGCAGGCGGCGGCGCTGGCGCGATGGCGGCCCAGGACAGCGGCGACGAGGTGCGGGTGCTGCAGAGCCTCCGGGGCAAGATTTGTAAGTGCGGGCGGTGCGGGCCGGGCCGCGGCGCGGCCGCGTAAAGATTTGGCGGGCGGGCGTCGTGCCGGGCCGAGGTGCCGCCGCCGCGCCTTCTCCTTCCTCGCGGTTGGGGGGGCGGGGTCGGCTCGCTGGGGGGGGGAGCGCGTTGTGTGCGGCGGGCGGGGCGCCACGCGCTGCGGGCCGGCACGTGCCGGGGGCGGCGGGAGCGCCGCGGGTCTCGGGGGCGTCCGCCGCCGCGAGGGCGGCCCGGCGGGGCGGGAGCGGCACGTCCTGCGCTGCGAGCCCCGCGCCACGCTGTTTGTCAAGCGGCGGTTGCGAAACTATCGATGTTCAGGAAGTCGGTGGTGGAAGGGTGTTCTGGAGCGGCCGTCGGTGCTTCTGCGTCTTTGTGTTGCGTGTGTGTGAGAGAGCCCGGTGACTTTATTTTGATGGTTAGGAAGCGCTGACTAAAAATACCCCCGCGTTCCGTACCGTGGGAAGCCGGGCGGTGAGCACGCGGCGGGAGGGGACGGCGCTGCGGCTGCTCGGGGCGCGGAGGAACAGGATGTGAGCGCTTCCTGCGGCTCGCCCCGCGCCCATTCAGCTCCTTTCTCACGAGGCCCCTCGGCCTTTTTGAGAATGAGACGACGTCGGTCGCTACGGCGTGCGCCGGGGGCCGAGGGACGGCGGTGCGCGACCGCCGAACGGTGCGCGTGGCTGCGGCACCAGGCGTGCTTTTAAACGCCGTGCCGTGCGGAGGAGAGGATTTGCCGTCAGTGAGTGAGGCGGCCGTCGAGACGGCGGGCTGAGATCGTCAAGCCGGGGGGGCTCGAGCCGCAGCGGTGGTGCGGGCGGCGCCCGTGGGGCAGACGGGGCCGGGCGAGGCTTCCCCAGACCTTGCTGGTAGCGTGGAGCTAACGCGGGCTGGTTTTGAGACGGGTCGAAGCTGATGTATTGACTGATGCTGCTTTGCTTCTTGATTTCTGTCCTAGAGTCACAGAATGGATTGGGTTGAGTTCCTACTCCCCTGCCATGTGCGGGGATGCCGGTTGCTAGATCCAGGCACCAGCTCGGGCTGCCCAGGCCCCTCCAGCCCGGCCTTGAGCACCTCCAGTGATGGGGAATCCGAAACCTCTCTGGGCAGCGGTGCCGGTGCCTCACCGCTGTCTTTAGGGTTGGGTCAGCAGCTGACAGTGCAGCGATTCAGGGAGTTTGTGTTCTGTGAACTGAACGCAAGTATTGTGTTAGGCATTAGAAGGTGAATCCCCGGATTTCTCAAAACACTCGAAACTGCTTTTATTGACCTATTTAAGTGTGCTGGATGGTGCCTGCAGCTACAAAGTAACTTTGAATGTTGCCACAGTCAACGACCTGGTGAAAGCGATGGCAAGCTGAAGGCGGTGCACCTTTATGTGTGGGGAGCACTGCGCTCACGGATGTCCCACCCCCTCCTTAGGGTCTGGTGCTTGACGCTGTTAGGTCTGCATTACCGTCACGCTGTGTATCTATTGAGGAAATGATGCGCAGGACAAGAAGGTTTGTCTCAGCTGTGGGATTTAGTGAGTTGCTGTTACAACTAATGTGCAACATGAAAGTAACATGCAAAGCTCAAACTTGTTAAATATTGTGTATCAAAATTCCTGTTGTTTTAACACTGAGCTTTTATTAGAATCACAGCTTTTCCCTCTTGCTTAGGCTTGAGCTGATCTTACTTTGAAGTCAAGCTTTACAGCATAGTGGCATAGAGAACCCTAACAGTGCTTTATATGTACTTTAAAATCCAAACCAAACTATGTAGTCGATAAAAGTTACTTTATTACTGTCATTTTTTGCTTTTTTCCCCAAAGGAGGTTGCTGAGCTAGTTGGCAGTAGTTATGAACTTGCCTTTTCAGAATAAAAGGGTCAGTGTTGTTATTAGTGATGCATTTTGTACTTGTGCTACTAGATTGGCTATGAAGTATGGTGTGAAAATAGCTGTTGTCCTAAATGAGGCTGGTGTCCGAAACTGCTGGGTTGATGCAGTTGCTAAGAAGTGATTTGGCCTTATTGCTGCTTTTAGTCACTTGTGTGTTTCGCTGCTGGAACCACAGGTTTAAATATCTTGCTGTACAGTTTTAAATGACAGACACTGGAAAGCCTTGTGTAGAGCTCTACAGCTACAGGTAAACATGCATCTCTTTCTCGTCTCCCAAGAAAGCTTTCTGAGATGGTTCTCACTGACCAACTTACTGCCCGTGTTTTTTGAACACCCATTTGGAAAGCACTGGTGTACATCTCCATGACATCCCTCTCACTTGCCTTCTTGCCCTCTATGTTTTTGAATTGTGGAACTTACAATGTCTTGACGTTGCTGCTGCTGTTGTTGTTGTTCGGAATTGTGCATCTGCTGAATAAACTCAAATCCAAAAATTCAAGCAAATATCTGATGTTATTCATACATAATTTTTATTTTTTATTTTTAATCTGTACAGCTGGAAGTTTTCTCCCAATTGTAAATGTTAAGAGGTTTTGGGGAAGATGTGACAGCTGTGTGCTTTACCTGATAGGTGAGCTGCAGATCCTCACTCCTTTCCACCCCAAGCTCTGCTCAAGAAATCCATCCTTCCTTCAACTAAACAAATCAAGATGTGCAGATCTTTTCTCTTTTGTAGGAAGGCTTTTAATACAGAAGGACTGCAGTGTAGTAGAGTGAAAAAAGAAGATGTGGATTACGTAGAAATATTTGTTTTTTCTTTTTTAAGAAAACGTGGATTTGTAATATTTGTGTCTCTGCTGTACAGTGGTTTACAGTGCCAGTCAAGTAGTGTTATATCTTAAATGTTTTAAAATAGGGTGGAGAACCTTCAGGGTATTAACCAAAATTATAAGATGCTGACCAGAAGTAACTGAGTGTAAGGTTTATGGTTGCCAATTACAAACATCAGTGTCAGACCCCATCTGGAGATGAATAGCCTCTTGTCCATTTCCCTTTGTTATCTCTTGCATAAGTTTTAACAAGTTTTCTATTTGAAGGTGATGTTCCATCTCATGCTTCTCTGATTTTTTTCTGCAGTATCTCACTAACGGGTCACTTTCAGTTTAGCTTCATTTTGAAATCTAATGGCATTTAAAACCGGTTCTGTACCTATCCCTCAGTCTGTCAACATTGAGGGTGACGTTTATAAATAATACCTACACTTCCTTGTCTCCCACACCCAAACTGCTGACAAGCTCCCTGGTGCTTCAGAGAGCAGAGCTTTACCTGGGGGAGTTACCAGAGTGTACATGGAGCGTCTGTGCCTTCCCAGTGCACGTACCCCTGGCTTCCAAAGGGCAGCAGGGCAGCTCAGCCTGCTCTGTTGAACCATCCTGCTCTTCTCAGTGCTGTTGTGGCTTTTTAAATACCAGACTGACTTGCTTAAACTTAAAGGCCACCACTGATCTATTAGGCAAAAAGAGAAAACAAAGCCCTTATGATTTAACATCTTAGCAGCGTAAACAGTACAGCTTATTTTTCAACATGCTGCTTATCTGCAGTTTTTTCAAAAGGAACAGACGTGTGACAAACCTATCTTCAGGCAGCAGACTTTGGAGGTGGAGGTGGTGTGATATTTAGACATGGTACGTAATGAAAATCAGTCATTCATGTAGCTATGGTCATGTTACACTTCAGTACTTTATCTGAAGTTCAGATAATTTTGATTCCATATTTTCTGGGGAGGGATATCTCCAGTAGGAGTGTAAGAGTGAGTGTGACTGGCAGAACTACTGGCTAAGTCTGAGTCCAGAATTCAGAATTCAGTTCTGGTTGCCTGTGTTAAAGTTCAGAATTAAAATGGCATAAGACAGAGAAGAACTGCTCAGCCATTAAGAGTTTCTTTCCTTTGGAGTGAGGATCAAAAAAACTGGTGTCTATCAGCAGGATATGAGGTGACAGGGGACCGATTCCTGTCTTCAAAGAAGGACGCACCGGAGGGGACGTACTGCTTAAGCGAGTGGACAGCATTGCCATAAAGTTGTGGAGGTGTCTACAGCACTGAGCTTCTGGGCAAGCAGATGGAATATGGGGATGTATTCTTAGCTGTAACCACTTAGAACTAACTATTTCACAAAAAGGCTGCCAGGTGTCCAGCAGAGGTTAGTGCAGTGGCCTACACTCAGCATCCATCTGTTCCTCACATCTCATTGTTCCTCCCATTGGAAAGTTTCTTGTTCTTAAATGTGTTGCATTTAGTTGATCTGTTTTTTTTCCCCCCTTTCCCTAGCAAGCCAGACATTAGGGGGAAAAAAAAAAACACCAATGCATGTAGCTGACTCTTTGGAAATGCATCAATCAACAATAGCTGCTCATTGTTAAAAATGAAGTAGACAGCTTCCTGCAACCAAGCTGTTTAAGGAGAAAATACAGAGCAAACAGTAGCTCAGACAGTTGGCTGTCTGTTTTGGGAGCTAATGCTGGGTTGCCCCAGGCTGGAACTTCTCAGCCTCAGCGCTGCCGGCTCAGGCCAGAGGGGAGGTGCAGATGCTGCAGGCAGCAGTGCTGGTGAGGCAGTGCAGTGTCATCTTCCTGGCAGCATCTTTCCATGTCACACAGGATATAAACATTTCTGGGCACATAAGGGAGCTTACAAATAGAAAGTGAATATGGAAATGCATGTTGAGTGGAAGGACAGACTTTGAATGCCCATTAGAACTACAGAACTTCTGTGTGTGTAACATCCTGTTGTTTTTTCCCCTCGGTACTTACAGTTGTTTCTTTTTTGTTTACAGATGATGCCAAACATTTGATACCCAACAAGATGAGAGACTTTTTCTGTACCATAAATTTGGACCAAGAAGAAGTTTTTCGTACACAAGTAGTTGAAAAATCTTTAAGGTAAGCCTTCTTTTTTACATGGAAGTGGTAATCAAGACAGTCTAAGTCCAGAATAAAAGCAAGATTTGTATCGATGTGTATGTGGCTTTGCTTTTTCATCTCTAAAATGAGAACTGACTTGTGGTGACTACCCAGAAGTGTTACAGCAGTGTGCAAATCATAAGAATAGTGGAAAAAAGATAAAATGGAGGCTTATGGGTACCACAGTGCTTTTAAAAAGGAACATGCTAAAACATTCTGCTGTTACTCTGTTCTGTTCCATTGGGCAGCATAATGTTCTTTTCCTTGCCAAGTTATATTCAAGGGAAAGAAATTTGCTCCATCTGAGCTTTCCATGTCATTTTCTACTTCTGACATGTAGTCACTGTGCAGTGGTGGAATTCTGCTCTTAGTGTCTGTCTTGTAAAACCTGTTTCCAGAATGGAGGAACTTGAACTTTTCCATGTATAAGAGTTTTGTTTGCTGTAGGATGTTCCCCTGAGTAGGCCTCGTTCCCTCCTGCAAGCCTTGTTGCAAGAACTGCAACCTGTACTCTCAAGAATAGCTTGCTGTGCCTCCCCAAGCAGTGCTTAGCTGTAGGTTCTCCAATGGTTTATGAGCTTTAAAAACAGTCCAAAAAGTCACAATAAAATATCTGAAATAGTCTTGAAATATAGTTCTGTGATGACCCATACTGAAGCATCCTTGCAGCTGCATTGCTCTGAAGACCAGAGTGACAGTTTAATGTATTTGAGGAAGGAATCAAACCTTCCTCTTAAAACTCAGAAAGCCTGCTTGAAACGTTTTTGGTTTTTTTTCCCATGCTCCTGCTGTTTGCTGTGGTTTTGTTATCAGTGCTCCTTTTTGTTGTTTGGTTTTTTTGCTGGTTGTTTCCAGATCAGGAAAGCCTTGGTGCTCAAATAGTGCATTCAAAAAGGGAGTTGTTCTTTTTCAAAACAGCTTTTTAAAGTTGCCTTATACTTCTGCACGGGAAGTAAGCACCACAAACATGCAACCAGTTAAATTACAAACAAATTACTTTTATATCCAACTACATGAAATACAGACAAGGGGAATGAGCAAAATATTTGTTCCTGATTGCACTTGACTAATTAAACTGGAAATACAGTTTGATTTCCAAAATAAAATCAGTTTTTTTAGCTTTGCCATCAGATTTCTGTTACATTAATAATTGAACTCATAGAAGATAATATACTAAGAAACAAGACTTGCTACACTTAATTTTTATGCACTTTGTAAAATTATATTCCATTTAAAGGGAGGGAAATATGTTCACTTTAAAGAATTGTTAAGTTGATGCTCTTGAATCACATGAAGTAGAACTAGCAACTGCATAGTCAAACATCAGTAAAAGAAATCACCTTGGATTAAGCTACATTTTTTTAATAGTATTGAAATGTACCTGAAACTTGAGAATGGTGCCAGTAGTATTTCAGAGGGAAGAAGAAAAATCTCACTATAATGAAGTAACATTTTTGGCGGTGTATTAATCAGTGCTCCAAATGGAGAGATTTTCAGGTGATATTAAATTTATATTCCTAATTCTAGAATATTTTGTTAATTGAAAGTCAGTGTTCTGAAGCACTCTTTGCCTACAGGTGCTTTTTAGTCTCTCCTGGCTATGTAGGCAACTGTCCTTGCTCTTCTGTATGACGTCTGTATGAAGTTAAATACACAACACAAATAGGGTTCTGTACAAACTGATGAAGTACAGCAAGGTAAGGCATCTGCTGGTAGCAGCAGCGAGAGCTGGGTGCTTACTGTTGTATTACTAGCATGTGTATAGTTCTGAAGGCTACTGCTTGTTCTGGAAGCTTAATTATACCATCTTGTTGCTTATTACTCTGTTGGTCCAGAGTACTGTAGTAACCCAGGGCTACTGGAAGGAAAATGACAGTTCTGCACTCTGTTAGCTTCAAAACTGTATACATTACTTTCCAGTAAGCTTTAATATGGTATTTGTTTCTTTTTTATATTACTGGCTTTTTTTCAGAAGTAATTCATAGTCTGTTTTTGTTGCTGTATTCTAGCTTGCAAACAAGAACTGAGTATAATCCAAATCGTATTCTACAAGTATCTGCTAGTTGCACATCTGTGGAAGTAGTTATCATTGCAAGCAAATGAGTTTTCAGAGATAGAAGAAATATGAATTAATAGGAAGAAGTTTATGGCTAATGACTCAGTCATGTTTCCTGACACTGCAAGGGATTTCTGTGGATTTTGAAGAAGTTGCATTTTTTTTCCCTGGAAATGTCAAATAAGTTTGAACTTCCTCAAATTTCCATGGTGAGATATGAGGAAATTGGCGGTGGGGGGTGGGAGGCTGTGGTATGTATTGCTTTTTGGTTATTGTTGTTTTAAAATAAATGGTTTTGTTTTCCAAGTTGACCTTTGTGCAAATGTGAGGCTATAGAATTGAACTGTCTGATGTAACTGTTGAATTTATAAAATAACAGGTCTTGCTGTCTCATGCTTTGCTAAAGAATATCCAAGAATTGATTCATAATACATTAGTGATAATCTGGGTAAGGAGAAATGTGTTAACAGAATACATTATTAAAACAACACATTATTTTCTGTTAATGTTTGACAGTGACTGATGTTTTATTATTGTTTTGTTTTTTTTTTGCTGTGTTGGTGAATTTCATTATCCTTAGCCTTGGGATATGGCTGCTACATAGACTGCTGGAAAGCTGTACTGATAGTCTCCATCCCACAACAGAGGATCACTTTCTGGCTGTAGTTATGCACATTAGAGTTGTGCAGGTCTGGTAAAATCAGGAGTTACCACTTAGTGATGTGCAGTAGTTGCATGTCATCATCTGCTCCTGTCTGAAGCTCAGTCAGTGGCAGAGATTCCCTCAGTACCAGCTCGTTCATCTGCTGTTTGCACTTTGTGTTGCGATAACTTTGTTTTAACTGCAGCTATTACTTGTGTAGCTGGTCGAGGAGCCACATCATGAAACCGACCTAAATTAGAAATAAGCCCTCATTTCACCTGCTGTGTTATTGTGTCAATGCAATTTGAGTAAACAGTCAAAGAGCAGTAAGGAAATGGAGGCTGCTCTAGCCTGCACTGCTGCTACAGGTAGTGCTCAGGGATCTGTAGCTGCAGTGGTGCTGCTGACAAGAAGAATGTGGCTCCCTAAGAGAGCTGAATTTTTTGGGTGTGAAATGAGGAGGAGAAGAAAAGAAGTGAGGAGCTGAAAAACTAGGAGTGGGTTTTTCAAGTGGGAATTTCTATGTTCCGTATCAGTATAATGTGAGGTGTAGTAGTGATTCATACACTTTGGAGTCTGTTGTGAAAGTTCTGTGTTTGAACAAAATGGGCATTTTAACTTCTGATCTGTGTAATAATGAATTCCTGGAATTAAAACCATTGAGTCTGAGAATAGACTTGAATAATTTGGAATGCTGGATTTTGCACTTGTTTTTTAACAATGGTTAGCAGCTGTTTTTAATTTATTTAATGAAGCATTTGGTGGCTTTTCTCTGATTATTTTGAGGGGAGATTAGGTATGATATCCTATTTGGACTATCAACCAATGGTTCCCAGTGTAAGCATGTTTGTGCTGCTTGAATAAACTGGTATTTTAACTGTACAACGTCAGCCAGGTACTTTACTAGGAAGCAACAACAACAAAAATTTGGTTGTGATCCAATTGTCATTGTGCAGCTTTTTTCTGCAGAAAACTACCTTGTACATTGTGCATAGTAAAATGTAGTTTTCTGTACAGAGGAAGCAGAGGCTAAAATCCATTTCACAAAGCTGCACATCTGTGCTGATAATACAGCACTGCAAATGACAGTGTATGAAGTCTGTAAGAATCCAGTCATTCCAAAATAGGAGATTTTTTGTGATTGTGTTTTATTTCCAGAGTTCACAAATTGCACTGGCACCAATAGCATTGTAGTTCTGTTCAGTCTTCTGAGATGCAAGCTTCTGAGTGCTGGCTGTGGCTGGGTACATAATTTTTCCTTCAGTTTAATGGGCATATGCATCCCTTGATGGAAGGATACCAAATACATTATGTGAAATGGCTCTGGAATACGGAGGAACTCAGATATTTTCTTTTTTTCTTACATAGAATTCTTTGCAAATACTTGCTGCTGTTGTTTGGTACAGTATGAATGGTTGTAAATATTCTACTAGATTTCTATTTTATTCTAATATTCTATTAGATTTCAGTAGGTGGAGAAGTACAGTGATTGTTTCATCACATACAAGTATTATGGGTTTGAGATGAATGTTTCCCTCTATCAGTTTCACTGTTCTCTTCTGCTTATGGCTTCTTTTAACAGGTCTCAATCTTTGAGCATTAAGCCTGACAGAGGTTAGAGCACAACATGTTAGCAGTTAGTGAATTGGTTCCTGAGTTGTGTTTTACTGTGATTTAACTGGGCACGGAAGAGAAAAATATACTTTTTCTATCTCCAGAAATTGTTTAAGGATGGTGGGTTGGGAGCCAGCTAAAATGATTTCAAGACAGGAAAATGTAATTGAAATTGCAGCAAAGGTGGGACTTTCTCTGTGTGCTCTAATTTCTGTGTGTTTCTTGAACACATGCAAAGGGTTTTTGTGCTGTGTGATTGGATGAAATGGCTGCAGGTGGCTTGGATGACAGATTAACATTGTGGTGGTAAAAAATAAAAAAATAAAAAATATGGCATTTCAATGTCTGCTCTATAAATTACACCAAGTGCTTTCTACTTTAATGTTTTTTTTTTTCTTATCAGCCCTTATTTTGGAGAAGAGTTTTACTTTGAGATTCCAAGAACATTCCAGTGGTTGTCCTTCTACATTTATGATAAAAGTGTTCTACAAAAAGACCTGCGGATAGGTAAGCTCTGCGATGCTCTGCGTCTTGCATAACGTTCAGTTTTCAGTATCTGTGGTTTTATGGGCATAATTGTTAAACAGATGAATTTTCAAAAACGTAGTAGATAGTGCTCCTAAATATTTCTTTGGAGTTTGAAAAATGGGATTTGTTTCCTTGCTTTATTATACTGCAGTTTAAATTATATTATTAAAATTGTGTATTTATTTTTCTAGGCTAATGGGATATTTTTTATTCCTACTCAGTATGTTCTGAAATTCTTTTTTCTCCAATTCTGTTCCAGTGCAGTGTTTGAGTAACTGTCACTACTTTTATAGCTCTAAAGAATTAATTGACTTTGTAGTTGTGGAATAACTCTTAAACCTATAAGTGGACTTCTCTGCCAGTGCAACATGTAAACCTAGTGCTTAGAGGCTGCACAAAACATGTATGACTGAAAAGTTACAGGAGGTGGTTTAATTTCATTGTCAAATGGCTTTATCACAGCTGTTAGTTGCATATAAAGTTGATGTGAAAGCTCTAAGAGTCTGCTGTGGATGTGCACTGCATGTTACTTGAATTGAGGAAGGAAATAATTTGTACGAGGATGCCAGATAATTGGGTATAATAACAGCCTTCCAAATAGCAGTCAGGAGAGCAGAAGGCATCTGTCTTCAAATTGCTGTTTAAATGTTCTTCAGCACCGTTACTGTTCTCTCAAATCTTCGTTGTGTTATACCCAGCCACAAGTGTGTGCTTTCACTTGACCTTGTTATTAGTGATATCCAAGATAATTCATCAGAAGTAGTTTAATTAGCTTTGCATGAACTCTTTTGCTGCTTTATTTCTGCTTCATGTTGTTTGTTTCTATGAGCTTTTCATATAGCATCATCATTTAAAAATATATATATATATTCTTAAACAAAAATCAGTCCTGTTGAGGTACATGTGCTTTTCTTTCCCTCTTTCCTGCAGGAAAGGTGGCAATCAAAAAAGAAGATCTATGCAACTACACAGGGAAAGAGAACTGGTTTACGCTTCAACCTGTTGATTCCAACTCAGAGGTTCAGGTAACCATTAAATTGCACTCTTATCTTTTTAAAATTACCATTACATGTATTTATCTGTATTTAGACTATTTTTTTGAACTGTGACAGTTTAACATCTTTGTAATTCTTGTGAGTCATTTGTCTTTCAGCTTGATTAAAGAGTAATGCTGTCAGTTTTTCTAAACAGTATTGTTTCTTGTGATGCTTCTCAAAGCGTGTAGGAGATCTGAAGCGGCTGTTTGGGAAATGTCTAACAGTATTTTGATGCCAAAAAAGCTTTGATGCAAGGAATGCTATGTAATTTAGACAGCTGAATGATTCAGGATACTACTGAGTAGTTTTTTCCATCTGAAATGTTGATTGTGGAATGTGGAATGGCAATGTCTCCATATTGGGAGTTACTTGTGCTGTGCTCATACATTTATTTTATTCTCAAATACTTTCCACATGCAGCCTTAAATAAGCTGTGCCTCAGAGTTCTACTTTGTCTGTGCTTCACATCCTTCGGATGGGATTGTTGTAAGAACATTTAAGTGTGATGTCCCTACAGCTGTAGCTGTTGCTGTCTGTTCTTCAGCTATTCTGAAGTAAATACAGCCGTGTTCTTTGGAATCCAATCCTGTTGCTGGGATATCCGATTTAGTATATCTTAAGTTTTCTTTGGATATTCCCAAGTCTTGGCTTCCTTTCTGGAATTAACAAGAATTGAACTTGCTGATTCCTACAAAATAATAATAAGGTGGTGGTGGAAGAGATGTGGAAGTTTAGATATTGGTCACTTCTTAAAGCCACCATACTTTGCAGTAAATTTAAGACTTCTAGGATCACAATCCACTCCTAATGCAGGAGGTCTACACCTTCTGTGTCTTCTTCCATTCTGGTTCCACAACTCCATACTAACACGGGTAATCAGAAGTGGAGGTGATTAAAAATGGAGCAGAGTAAAAATACTGTATCCTTGAGTTCATACAAGACTTTGGTTTTGCTGTGTATAAAATATTTCCAAGATCATTTTTATCTTACATGCTTGCACAAGCTTTTTCAATTCCTTTGCTCTTTCTTTTCCTTCTCAAAATAGAGATTACACAAATAACACTGGTGAGTGAGTTGACGTTCCTATCAGCTGCCTTACTTTTTTTTAATCACTCTTACACCCGTGCTGCTTTTGCTGATGCATGGAAGTATGCCACTTAAACTGCCTTGCTGAATAACCTGAACTAAGTAGTGTGGTCCAGATGCTTTAAACTGATGGATAAGCATCTTCGTATTGTCTGAAGTGATGATTTGGTAGCTATAATTGCATCTGGTTTATTACACTGATGTAAAATTTTGATAGACTAGATCTTACATCCCTCTTTAAAACAAAGTTAATTTCAGGCTAAAAATTGTTCTTCTACCCATTTGTGCTTTATAAAAAAAAAAAAAAAAAAAAAAGATGAGGGGGGTGGTCTGTTCCAGTGTGTATAGGAGGAAAGTAGCCTTCTCATGGGCATTAAAAAATGTATTAAATGACTCGACTTGGACTTTTAGCCAGCATCTGTTCTGTGTTATGTTCTTAGCTGGTTTTTTTGTTTGTTTTGCTGCTGGTAACAATAGTAGGAATGGATATCTTTTTTTCTTCAAAATTTCTGCTGTCCGTTAGCTCTCAAAAAGTATAAGTAAATGGAAGAAAACTAAGCAAATAAAGTAGTATTTGAAAAGCTGTGTAGAACAGTGCACATCTAACTGCAACTGGTACAAACTTCTCAGCAAAAAAATCCTTCAAATTTTCTAAAATTCATATAGCCTCAGGTTGCTGGTAAGATGATTCTTGGGATTATTTGCCTTGCCTTTTTTTGATCTCTATATAGCTGGTTTGAAATGAGGTCATAGTATTATACAAGCCCTTGTTCTGTTCTGTTACTTGTAACATGAGAGAAGAATCTTGTAAAAATTTGATCTAGGCTTGCAAAATGTATAGGGGCAAGATGTTCTACACACTTCTAAGGTTCTGAAGGTAACGTGAATGTTTACTGACCTTGTACCATTGACAGGCTTTGTAGGTTTTACAATGATTGCAGCAATATACTTCCATTGTATCCCCCTGGCCTTTTGAAGAATGCATAGGTTTGTTTGAAAAAGTGGAGTCTGATGTTCAGATCAGATTGTGCATTCATAGATTGACATCTGCAAACCTAAAAAAGAGGAAAGGTCTGGGTAGAATGAACCATGCAGGGTTAGACTGTGTTAGTTCTGTGGGCCTGGGCGTAGTGCTAGGATCTCGGTGGTGAGGTGATGTGTTTTAGAAACATGGTGCAAGTTGCTCTAATTTAGTATGAGAAAGATAGAGATATCATTTAGTATGAGAAAGATAGAGATAATAGAGAATGCCGATAAACCTGTATCTGGTATGTAAAATTTATGCACTAATCTTACAGAATTAACTACTATGTGCTGTGCCTACTGTGGGAAGGTTATACAGTTTGTGGAGTCCCAGTTTTCCTTCACTTACTCCTACAAGTCCAGTAGTTTGTGATATTTTTTTCCCATCACGCTGATGGAAGTGGAAAGTGTAGAGCAGAGTTCAAGAGAAATACTGCTGAGTTTCTGATACTGGGAGAGGAACTGGAGCATAACTGTTAGCTTTTCTAACCCTGTTTAATCCACATAATCAGAGTAGCTCCCAGTTGTTGACTACCTCTCAGACAAACAAGTGTGCACATCCTTGTCTTAAATTGAAAGGAGAGAAGATGTTAGGAAGGAAACATATACTGTAAAAAATTGTCTGGTGGTAAACATGCAACAAAACGTGAAATGTGGGCGTGGTATAAAAGTGCCTATTGGCGTATATAAAGTACACTTAGCAGCCCAGTTTTGGCAGGAGAGCTTTAAAAAAACTCAAATTTAGTGTAGATACTTGTTATCTTTTGTAATGTGGAATTAATTGAAGTATTGAAATTGCGGGGAGGAAAAGCGTCTCAAAATACTGTGCTAAAATGCAGTAGTAATTCTAAAAGCAAACCATGCTACTGAATTGCTTCAGAGGTTCTGAATTTCAGGTTAGAGATTTGGGCACACTGTTTTTGGCTTCTCTGTTCTTATGCAAGTCTGACTGCCTAACACCTCCATCTTCCTCTAGTCAGTATCAGGAAAGATCATTGTTAATCCATTGGTAAAATTATAATAGTGCCTACCTGCTTTTAAACATTCCTGAGATCTGCAAGTGGAAAGTGCTTTCACATAAAACGTGCTTATTTATTGGATGGGTTGGCTGATTTCACCGTGCGTGTTATGTCGGAGGCTGATACAGATCTGCGGATCAGCAGCTGTCGTGCTGCTCTCAATGGGTAACAAAAATGTTCTTGAGATGCTCCATACATGTCAGGGGAGTGATCACTTAGCTTTGGTAAAATGGCTGTACTTGTCACGGTGCTAAGCTGTTTAATCAAGCTCTAAATACTGTTCTTAGGAGCAGTAGACTGTTGTACTGCTCCATGCAGAGCTCTTGATTTGTGTGGGGCTTTTTTGTTGAGTTTTGTTTTTTTTTCTAAGAGGAAAAAAGATGGTTAAGCCATTCATAAGGTCTGCTTATTAAATTGTACTTAGGCCAGCTATTTCCATAAATACTAGTTGTGTTTTTGTCCTTTTGCTTCTCATTCAGAAACTTTGCCTTGTAAGGCTGTTGGCATGCTTCTCAGTATCCTGTTTTTATTAGGTAAATCTATTTTTGCAATTGAAATTCTCTGCTTGATAAATATTTTCTTAACGTACCTGTGTTCCAATGCATGTAGTAACAGTTTGCAAAACACTTGGCAGGCATCCCAAAATAGTTATGTTTCCTTAAAAAAGAAACCTCACTTCTCCTCCCATGTGATGTACAGAGAGAGAAATACAGCCTTTGCTGCAGGGGATTGACAATAATGACACTTCAGTTTCATGACAAGACATGCATATTTCAGAAGTGCATGCACTGTCAGCTAGGGCTTTTCTTTCCATTTTGGTACTGTTGGAGCAGAACTGTAGCTGAAACTATAGCTTCAACCCTTTGAAAAATTACAGAATTATCTTCTGGGTCCCTACTCTGACTCTCGCCAAATTCATTGTACTGCTGGACAAGAGTCATAACCACGGACAGATGGTTTTCTGATGTTCCATTTAGCAAATGGATGAATCCCAAATATGCTGAGGAGAGCATGGTACTGATTAAAGGCTGTGTTGCTGTCTTGTTACAATAGTTGTGAAAGCCAGCACAAACAGCCAAACAAGTAGCATTGTTGTTCAGGCAGTGGATGTTGGGAGCGAGGTTGTACTGCTAAAGATCGTCCAAAGGAAGGTGCATATTATGATTTGGAGTTCTTGAGGCATTTTATTGAGAGCATATTCTTCCTTCTGCTGGAAGAATTGCTTTGTTTGAGATCTGTGGAGATTTGACTCGTTTCTACAGTTGAGGATGGTGATGCTTCTATTAATCAGCATATCCAAGATACTTGCACGATACGTGCTTCAGATGTTACTCCAACGTATCTCCTTCAAACAAACCTTAAATGGCTTCTAGCTATAAAGTATATAATTTTTCTAGTTAGTACTTCTAAAATAAAAGTTTTTAAAACTATTTGTGTTTCTGTCTTTTTCAGGGAAAAGTTCACCTTGAATTAAAACTGAATGAACTGATAACAGATAATGGATCTGTGTGCCAGCAACTGGTAGTACAGTAAGAAAATACATTAATCCTTAAATACACAGTTGTCTGTTACAGTATGATGTGATCTGTCCCTTTAAATACTGAATGTCTGCACATTCTGATACCAGTAATGTTTGTTTTTCTCTGTATGGCTTTTCTTGGAGCTTACTGTACTGGAGGCGATGGGTTTGTTCTCCTGCAAAAGTGTTTCACGCCTGCTTGTCTCTGTAGCTCCCAGTGTGCTCACTTCTATTGGGACTCAAACTTCTCACTGGCAAACTTAACATCCAATATGTAAAGACATTACAGCATATCAAAGAGCTTCGTATGAATAATATGCTTTTGGTGTATGTGCTCTCAGAATGGTAGAGGTTACCAGACAAATATTACCAGTGCTAAAGAAAAAGTGGGGAATTATACCCTTTAGGAAACACTGATGACTATGTAGTTTTGCTGTTAGTCTTACAGCTGTGTTTTATAATTTATTTGTTTAAATTTATAATTCAAACTTTTGGAGTCTGAATACACAGTTTACACACTTAGTACAGAGAAGGCTGAAATCACATATAGTGCTCATTCAATTCTTTTGTTATTAAGCAATATATTTAACAATAGGTACAGATAAACTAATACAAATGCAGCTCTGCAAAATGCATTGTATTGATATTCATATTAAATGTATGGTATAGATATATGGAAGAAATTAGTCTTCTCATTTTGGAAGAAGTCCAGCAGCCTTCAGTGTCGCTTGCTTCAGGGAAGCTGTTTAGTTGAGAAGTCCAGTGGAAACCAGTGGATTGCTCTGAGACTGCCAGTGTTTTTTTGGGATTCTTTACGTCCTCATGTTCATGAGTAGGGAGGACAAGCTAGAATTGAAATTTAAAAATGTTTTGTATTCTGCTAGTACTTCAGAGAGAAATGAGACTTTTCTGCACTTCTATTAACAGCTTTTGGGATAGGCCATATGAGAAATAGGTACAGGCAGAAGGTTGTAGATGTAAAGGGATACTTCAAATAAAAACTCAAAAGGCAGTCTGGTTCTTTCTAGTCTTGCTTTCCAGCGTGATCTGTTAACTGATCTGGTAACTCAGAGTAAGGTTTGTTTTGTTGTTGTGTGGTTGTTTTTTAAGTTTCCCTGTCTGAGAATTCAGTGTTAAATAATGTTTGTGTTGCGAAACTGCGATAAAGGAGGAAATTGCGTGGGGTATTCTGTTTGTCTCAGAGCTTCATACTCAGATCAGTTCCAGGGGGCAGGGGAAACCATTGCACTGTCTATTTTGCAATGAAGTTCTCATTATGAAGTTTAATTCAGTTGGAGCAAGGCTTAGCAAAATTAACCTCTTGCTCTTCTGTTGCTTAGTTGATATTGAAGAGGGAAACTAGTTTTGAAACAGAACTAAGGCAGAGAAATTGGTAATGTTTAGTAGAATATTGTAAGCTGATAATGCAGATAAGATCTGGAAACTTGTGGTACGTCAATGTGTATTTATAACTGCAAGATAATTTTGAACATGTTTCTACTTGTGTGGTGGGTGGCAGCTCATATCACTGGAGATCTTGCTGCTCCTATTTTTGTATCCCTCTTCCAGCATGGATTAGAACAGCTTTTTACTTGTGTGCCACTAAAACCGAAAGCTAGCTGGATTGTTATAACTGATTTATTCCCAACCTTTCCTTTAGATGTCCAAGGTGTTAGTTAATTTGTACATATCCGTGCATTCTAAGGTGAATTACTTTTTAATTTTAAATATTTTGACTTTTCATAATGAAGAAAGTTTGCTTAAGAATGTTACTGTTGCAGATTGCTGGTTTCATTAGGAAGTAGGTTACTCGCATACCCTCTCCTAGGATCTCTTTATGATGGAGATAAATGACGAAAAGGAAGCCAGGTTGCTGTCATGGTTGCTGTGCTCACCCACTTGTTGACACGTGGGAGAAAACTGCGTAAAACACTACAGAATTACATCAGCATTTTTGTTTCCATTCAAGGTTATGAGAAAATCAAGAGTTCCTTAAACCAAAAAAGCTCACTAATTTTCAGACATCCTGATAGGCTTGAAATGATTGTACACAAGTATATTCTGTACATGCGAGAGTATGAGAATTAAATCTCTTATGAGATGTAAGTCTATAGGGATGGATTTGAGGATGTTTTTGAAATGGTTTTGGTTTTAAGTGTGAAGAACTTACAGAAAATGCATGTGAAATTCTTTAATAGAACATTTCAACTTTTAAGAAGCGTGTTTTATAAATTTCAGAGGATAGTTAGTGATGCACTTATGTTTTGTCAGTCACCTGGCCCTGAGAAGTTGGTGTATTGTAGTCCTCTAACAAAGCTGAAAAATAGCAAATAACAGAGCTTTCATTAGGTTAAAAAAAGTCACATGAATATTTCTGTCCCTACCTTTTTTGGTCTGTCCAAATCTTGAACAAGCATTGGCCAAAGAGAAAAAAATAATGAGAAGGGTAATTCTTAAGGGGTGAGCTGTACTGTGTGCCTTTTAAAACCATGTTTTGCTTACTAAGAAGCCTTCAATTTGGTTGTTTAGTAACATAAAGAGGCTTTTGAACTTTTACATTTTCTTCTAAAATAAGGGAACTCCAAGTGCCTGTGCTGTCTTCTGTGCATAGGCCGGTTCTTGTGCATTTCCGCTGTGTATTATTTCCTGAGAGTCCAGTTCTGTGAAGACAGAAAATAATTAAGGCATGTTAAGCTTTCTCTAAGATCATGTTAAGCACACACAAGAAGAAGTAATAAAGGGCTGTGGTTCTGATTATTATCTGGGGTTCTAGTGGTCACCCTACTGTGGCTGAACCCAAGTGATTGAATCAGACCTGACTAGGAGGTGAATTGTCTCCCTTCTGTAGACATGTGTGTGGAAGTGCTTTTGCTGGTTTTGTGAATCGTTTACATAATGTTTGTTTTAGACACATAATGTTTGTGAATGTGTCTCCAGTAGGAAGCAGTTTTTACATGTTAAGTATAATGACAAGAGCTGCTGAAGTTGTTAACCTCCTACAGCAAATACAGGAAGGAGAAAAACTTGATTGTGTATAGTGTGTATAATAATGCCCCCTGTCCTGTCCCCCCCCCAAAAAAAACAAAAAAAAACAAAAACAAAAACAACCCAACAAAACAAAAAACAGTCCTTAAAAACAGTGAGTTTGCTCAAGTAGACATAAAGTAGTCTTCTGCAAGTTACACAAGTGTCTGTCTAACTTAGTATTATTTGACCTTAGGGGAAGAAGATACTTAAATACTGTGGCCAGTTTTCTGAGAGTAGGAGCTTCGGAAGCCAGCTGGGGCTTCCAGGTTGTGGAATTATTCTAGAAACAAGATATTTCAATACATGTTTCTCTGGATAGAGTGAAATCACAGATTGAAATTGTATCAGTTAAGTTCTTACAAGTTAACCTGATGAAAGGCTGCATTAGGACTAATTATAGTGGGCTAAGCTCTAAACTTCTGTATTTTTGTATTAATTGGAAACTTACTGTTAAAGTTCACGCAGACACCCACATCACATTTCTGAATTAGAAGTTTGTTTTGTCTCTGTCTCTGGTTGTTTCCTTGTTGGTTGTGTGAATGAGGAGGGGAGCAAGATGACGCAGTAGATTCACTGCTGACTCAACGCGCGCTCATTTTTTCAAAACCGCAGTGGTGCGTTCAGTGGCACGTGTCAAAAATACGTGTGTGCACCTCCCCTTTCTGGAGCCTGTGGAAAAAAAAAACAACAACCAAACAGCCAAGTTTGTGTGACCATTGTTTGCTTATTTGCTCCTGCTGAAACAAATGATACTTGGATGTAGGTTTTTTTTGCCAGATTTTGAGCGGTGGTGTTTGCTTTTTGTATGTTAGCCTGACTTTTAACTCTGAAAGAAACAGTTTCATCTTTACAATGCTAATATAACTGAAAGGCAGAAGTAGCTTATCGTGGCTATATTGCCTTTTCTGGCATTTACATTTGTAAATCAATTATACAGTATAGTATCTCCAATTGAAATGTTACTTTATTACTATTCTGTTAATGTAATATCTGCTCTTTGTAGGGACCGTAACAACATTTAGGAAATGTACAAATCCTAATGGGTGTAGCTATTCAGTTTTTGCACTTGGAAGGCTTCAGTTGGCTTGAATGGCAGAGGTACAGATTTCCTCTGTCGTTATTGAAGGGGTTTGTTGTGGGCTGGTTCTTTTCAAGGACTTATTTCAATCTTAAGAGCTGAATCTATACACATTTGTATCTAAAAGGCTCATATTTCCTGTATTAAAACTGCCCTTACATACCAAACTACCTATGTGTAGTGTGACTGATCAGTCACTTGTACCTGTTCCTTAGTCTTTATGTAATAATGTAGTAGCTTAAAAGACAAAATGAAAGGCCTTTTATATTCTTGTCCATTTCATTAAGCTCAAAGTTTTTCTGCCTTTTAAATGACAATAGCTGTTGTTAGCATAGATAGACAAAAGCATTTGTTAAAGGTAAATATTTACCCCATGCTGGAAATAGTTTTATGAGGATTGTCAGAATAGGAATATGCATTTGCTGTTATTTTCTTACTTGATTGGTCAGAGGCTTCTTTTTTTTGTCCTATAGGACTGTAGCTCTAGCATGTTGGTATCTGGTGGTTGAGAGCATGTTGCTAGCACGAGATTTGCTCACTGCTAAACTTGAGGTGGGGGGGGGATTGCACGTTTCTGTAAGCCTGCTCTAACTGAATTGCTCCAAATATCTTAAAAAAAAACAAAAGTTTGCTAGGCATTGTTTAGGACCTTAGAAATATCTGCAATATTCAGCCCTGAGGGAGTAAAAAGCCACTGTGGTACTGCTGAGTTGATGTAATGGCTTCCTACCCTTAACAGCTACTTGCCTTTCACTGCCTTTGGAGCTTGAGAGATCATTTGTGTGACTAGGCTAATTCAAGCTGCTAATCTGACTGAAAACTGGCTCAAAAGCTGAATAGTTTTCTGTAAGATTAGTAAACAAACTTAGTGATTGGAGCAAGGCAGAAGCCAGAGAAGAAGAGGGATCCTCCTCTATGTGTAGCTGGGATGACTTAGCTGTACTGTGAGTTGAAGTGCCTGTAGCAGGCTCTGGGCACCCCAGGAGAAGGGATGGTCATGATGGACTAGCTTACTTAGACAGAGAGTTGGAAGCAGAAAAGGTTACATAAAATTTGGAACAAATTCCGAGCTTGCTGGGTTGGAGGAGGAGAGGTTTGGGAGTGCTGAGTGTTGTTAGTGGAACTGGGCTGGTAATAGGTTTTTTTTTTTTTTTAAGGTATGAGAACAAGGCAGGCTGTCTGAGCTGTAGCTTGCAGTTCAGCTGGGGCTTGGGCAGCAGGAGGAAAGAGAAGGCTGCAACTGCCTGCCTACACAGGGAGACCGATTGCAATATGAAATTAGCTTGAAGGGACAGTTCTGGGTGATGAATCTGGACATTCTAGTTCTATTGTGCAGTTGTGTAGTTGCCAGGAGAATGTTTTCCTGCTTGCTGGAAATCCAGGTGCGGGTCATACATTGATCAGGAAAGGAGTTAGGAACTTCTTACATTGAGAAATCTGCTCTCTGTAGCTGCTCGTGTCTGTTTGCTACTGAGTTTGAACACTGGGCTGCATGAAGAGAAATTTCAGTGAAATAGTTGAATTCTATCCACTCTGAGTTGATCCACCGTCAGTTTCCTCTGAGGGTCAGATGAGGCTGACTTACCATTCTGCACTTGCTCTAAACAAACACAGTGTTGTAACATTTAGTTTAATACATTTTAAAAATACATTTAGTGTTACAAAATGCCTAATAGTTGGAAAGATCAAGTCGTCGCCACCTCCATCAGCTACTTCAAAATAGCGAAGTTTAGACAGTTTAATTTTGTCAGCACTCTTCTATGTCATGTATGTGTTGGAGGAGGAATCAATTAATGCTTATGAAACAACTGGATGTTTCAAGAACCCCTTTAAATGGTGGGCTTGTAATCACTGTAGGGTTCATTGTGATTCAAAAATTATTGAAATGCTGAGGGCTGCGTGCTTATGAAGTGGAGGAAAAATAACAAATGATTGTGTGGTGGCTCAGCACTAGATGTTCCCTGAAGTGGCCAAGACAAAGGGACTTTTTGGAGGAGAATAGCGAGTGGTTTATGATAGTGCATGCTGCAAGAGGGTGGAGTTCTGAGGCAGCACAGGGGTGTTAGTATCCATTTCTTCTCAGCTTGTGTTTGAGCTTAGAACTTTTGTTGGTCTTCTGACATTGTTTTTCTACACAGAGGAGACATTTACTTAACAGCGTTTAACCACTGCAGCTTCCTTAAACTTTGTGCTTTCGGTTGTGTTACAAACTACTGTGTAACCCCAACCTCCACGTTGTAGTACTTAGAATATGTATTCCATTACTTACATGAATTTAGAGCAGTTTATTCTCTTTGTAAACGATGTAGATCTTTTTTCTCAAACTGGCTGATTAAACGATCAAAATTTATTTTTATTATTGTTTTGCTGGAAAGTTTTTGCTCCAAGTTTGCAAACTGTTTTGGTTTACTTCTGTTGTTTCAACTGTTTATAGCTAATACTCATGTTTGGGCAGCATCTGAAGGTATACCACACTGGCTTGCAGGCACAGCGCTGCTGCTAACCATGTTGCTTCTGTGGTGATTCAAAAAGGTTGCAAAGCTGATCCAGAAAACAATTTGATAATCATCCTGTCCTTTCGTATCAGTAGTGATGGACAGTGCACCTTTTTACCTCTTAATCATCAATGTGTTATAAGCATTAATGGAAGAAAACAGCCTTTTTGAAAGGGCAGTTTACCCTTGATCATATGCTGTTGTGAAAAGTGTTTGGAAATTCTTCAAGTATAATTTCAAGGGTAAACTGTTTTTCCTCCTGCGGCTGGATAGTATGGATGAAACCAAGATATGCTCCAACTATCACTATTGGTTTTGGATGCTAATGCTTACAAATGTAGTTGCTACTATTGTGGATGAGGCCAATAGATTTTGTGGGCCTTCATAAATCAAATTTAAAAACTAATGAAGTCTGCAGTTTCCCTTAACATGGGTGTATTGTTTTAGTTGGAGTTTTGCCATGAATGTGTGATGCTGGACTGCTGGTTTTTTGTTTTGCTTTTTTGAGGAAATTCCAAGAATCTTGTCCACACAGAGCTTCTGAAATCTGACTGTGTGCTTGAGTATTCCTACCTTTTGTTATCACCCACAAATCTGTACCTGCAATCTACGTTGAATTATATGCTGTAAAATAGGACAGGACTGGAAAAATGTTTTTTAAAAAGGGCTTCTTGCATTACATGTATTTTATAACCCAACTAAATTGATCTGCTCTTTCTGATTGCCTTTTTCTTTTAGTATAAAGGAGTGCCATGGGTTGCCTCTTATAAACGGACAGAATTGTGACCCTTATGCAACTGTCTCTCTTGTGGGTCCTTCCAGGTAATGTTTCATATAATAAGAAATTAATCTAAAATGGTGTGATCTTAAACTGAAAATAAAGCAATAGGTTTTAAACAAGAAGTGTTGAATAAGCAGGTTTTGAAATGAGATGACTTGTTTCAGAAAAACCTTAATGCTTTCTGTGTGCATCCTATTTTCACTGTTACTATATTCTTTCCTTCCCAGCTGTGCTTCCAAGATCATAAAGATATTTGATCTCTGTGAGTGACCAATGCAAGCCAAGAACCTCTTGTCCCCCATTTTCTTCAGGCCTCTCCATTTCTAGACCATCTGGATCAGCTTCTTTATATCTTTACTGTACTTTCTATTAGTTTTAATCAAGCTCTTGAATATAGCTATTTGCCCACTCACTTTATGTTTCTTATTTTTCTTTATTTGTGAATTTCTTCGCAGCAAATGCTTGGGAACTGGGAGAGAGCAAGAAAATAGAGGTTCTGGTGAAACCTATGTAGTGCCAGTGCTTTCTGGATGACACTTTCCAAGTATTCAGCTTACTCCCACTTCTTAAATAAGTAATCCTGAATAGATGTTGGGGGTTTTTCATTTATGAAAATCTCATATCATGCATTCACTATCCACAAGTTCCAATAACATTTAACATAAGCTAGCTCTCAGTTGTTCCTTTTCTGCTGCCTCAGGCCTAAATTCACCCATTCTTCATGGTGCAGGGGAGTTGTCACTTTGAGCACAGCATCAAACCTCTAATGTTAAGCTTGTGGGTGTTAAGTACTTTTGAAGAAGTGACCCTGAGTAAGATCTAAGTGAATGAATAGGATGATGGGATGTTTTTTCCTTCTTGGTAAAGGATGTAAAAAAATTTTTTTAGGTGGTGTTATTTTTTTAATGTCAAATTTGTGAAGAGAACTAGTGAGAATCAGTCATTATACTCAAGAAGAATGCTGTTGACAGTCAAAGAAAGTAAATTGACTATTGTCTTCTGCATGAGTCCTGTGATACAGACTGAACTCACACAATATTTATCCCGTTGGTATGGGAATATATGTGCAAATCTGACAGAACTTGGGAAGTTAAGATTTTCCAGTCTCATGCATGTGACTCACATACCATGAGCAGAATATTTATATGGGTAGTGCCCATATGTGAAAACAGTTGGCTGACTGGCTAGGAGACAGTTTCTTTTCTTTGTTTGCTGTTTTTCTTCACCCACATTTTTTATTTGTTCCTTTTATATACCAATTTTGTACTATCATAGTCTGTTGTTAGCTAAATAAGACTTCATTCTTTTATAAGCACTTAAAATTAAAAATCTGTTTTACTTATATAAACCAGGAGGAAGTGGGGAGTATTTGTTTTATTTGTCCTGACACTGCTTAGCATCCAGCATTAACAGAGGTTTCTTGCAAAGGCAAACATTCAGTGGCTTGGTATAAGCCTCTGTCTGTAAAGAACCTGGCAGAACTCCTCAGTTGAACAAGACCAGGAAAACTATGCTCACAACTTGCAGGCAGTGGTAAAGAAATTGTCTTCAAATTTAAGTTTGAAATGCTTCAAGAATTGTTGGCACATTGTACTGAATTCATGCAAGGTGTAGTTGTGAAATGGGCCATTTACTTGGGCTGAAGAGATACATGGCTAAATGTAGGGGCTTGAATTTAACATCTCAGATTGTACGTGAAGATATAATTAAATAAAGGATTTCTTCATTAACCAGTGAACTCTAAAATGACACACAAAAAAACTTTAAACTTAAATGCAGAGGCTCTTCGTGACAAGAATATGTTTATAATTGTATGCTTAAGTTGTTTCTGGTTTTTAAAAAAAAAAATACCTCATTGGAACAGGAGTGACCAAAAGAAGACGAAAGTGAAGAAGAAAACAAGCAATCCGCAGTTTAACGAAACGTTTTATTTTGAGGTAACTTTTTGTGTGGCATTCTGTTTGTCTGTTTTGTGCGATGTTTCAAACAATTTGAAGGAACAATGTGCAGCAGTATAGAAGCAGAAAGCTCTGTTCGAGCACATGAAGGAGCCTTTACTAGCCCCTCAGGTTGAATGACAGTCTTATGTTGCTTGGGACTGCCAGCCAGTAACATTCTCCTTGTAAGCACCAGTGAAGGTAACTTACTATCCTTAGTAACTTTATATAGCATTTGCTGCCATCAGAGTTCTGTCTGAACTTAAAGCTGTCCTGTGGAATTCAACTTAGGCTCAATGCTCTTGAAAATGTTTAAAGACCAAAAAAAACCAAACAATTAAGATCTTATTTCCTTAATGAAATAATGTAGTGATTATTAAAAGAAAAAAGCATGTTTCATGATTTGATTAAAAGAACAAGTTCGTTTTTTTAAAATTAAATTTTACCTCCTCTTGAGTTTGCCCCACAGAAGCCAAATTTGATTTTTTATCTGTAATGAAATACTACATTTGCATGTAAGGATACAGTACTATTCATTTGACTGTTGAAAGTAGTAGAACTTGTGCCTCAAGTTTAGTATAATTTCCTGTGTTTATATAGATCCTAATCCTGCTGTATGCCTTCACTAAAAAAATCCTTGCTTGTGTGTAGAGTAACGCGTATTGCATGTGTTTTACTTGACCTACCTAAGATACTGAGCATCTTTTCTTTAGAAGTAAGATATTTGGATAAAACTGTGATCAAGAAGCACCACTGTAGTGTTTTCTTGATTTCTTGGGGTTAAACTGGGAGTGCCATCCATCAGTCCAGAAATGAGAAGAGAACAAAAGCAAGAGGATGGTGTAACTAGGGCAAGAAAATTGGGTTTATTTGTTGTTTTCTTAAACATTTCAGCTCACTTCAGTGCTTTCTTCTGGCTCATGATGAAGCCATTGAGCTTCTTTGCAGTTTAATGCTATACTTCCTCCTTGATTATTATTATTATTTTTTTTTTTTGTTTTAGATCAATACTGTAGTTCCCCTAGATCTCAGCCAGCCCTCATCAGACCCCAGTGTGAATTTTTTGTTCCATTATTTTCCTCTCTGTTCAAAACCAACTTGTTTGGTGAACTGAACATTTTTTTTTTTAAAGGAATTAGTTATTATATACCACTGTTAGACTCAAGGTTTCCTTGCTTATTTCTTTCTACTAATATAATACAATAGGAGATAGTATGTTAATAGGAGGATTTTACTTGCAGGTAACGAGGTCCAGCAGTTATACCAAAAAGTCCCAGTTTCAAGTGGAAGAAGAAGATATTGAGAAACTGGAAGTCAGGTAAGTTCAGTAGGTTATTACTACAATTAAATATTGTAATTTGAGATAATGAAAGCTATCATACTGTCGAGTAGCTCTAGAGAATTGCTGCTTAGATTTGTACTAACAATCCTTCAAACATAGGAAATTATCTAAGTTTTGTAGTGTGTTGATTACTGAAGGAGTTTGGATTATCAATCAGGACTTTGAGTTTTTGGTTAGTTGTTTGGTTTTTTTTTAATGTAATGATAGTTCATCTAGTGGCCTCAACTTCTTTCCTGTGTCTGTGGGTAAAGAGGCTTAAAGAGGACCTCCTGTTGATACTGGTTTGGGCAGAATACCGATTACAGAACTTGGACGATAAAAGCATACCTGATGTTTGCTTTTGGTTTCAAGTGCAGTTAGCTGTATGTTTAGAAAAAGAGAGAGAAGCCTCTTAAGAACTTCTCAGGGTTTCGTGTTCCTTGTTAAATAAATGCTTGTTTCACTTTTTCCTTGCAAGTGCAAAGAACAGTTCAAAGTATACTTTTTTTGTGCGTCTTTACCCTTACAGCAAGTCAGTCTGTATCTTCTCAGTGTAGTTAGAGCAGTCAAATGCTCCAGTGCTCAACCTCTTTTCTTTATCGTACTCATGCATGTTCATGCACTAGATTTGCTGAATGATAAAATCTTCAAGGCTCGCATAAGTTTCCTAAAAGGCACCAGGAGAATTTAGTGGTTAGTTCTAATAGCCACTATAGAACTAAGTTTGTGCATTTTTAACTATTAGCTTCGAGAGTATCTTAATTAGTGTTGTGTATATCAATATATATGCAAATATACTTAGAAAAGTAGTCATGCCCCAACAAATCTAGTATTAATTTTTTTGTTCTTCTTAACATCTTTCAGAAATGTCAGCGAGGTAAGAAGTAATAGAAAAAAACCAACCGCAAACAATAAAACAACCCAGTGTGCATGTCTGGAGTCTGATTCCTTTTTAAGATTGCAAATATACATGCTGCTCTTTGGGAAAACATGCGCATGTGTCGGTGTGGCGTTGCAGTGTGCCCAGTTGTAGCAATTAGATAGGGATGTGTAAATCTATCAGGTAAAATATTCACTTGAATTATTTGAGAAGACTCAATTTTGGGGGTGGAGGTTGCTCAGAATACATGTTGCCTATAGCACTGTTTTATTTTATTTTTTTTTACTGATGGGAGGTTTGCAAGCCTAACTTTCACCATTTGTTTATTGTTTATGGATTAATAAGCCACTTGTTTGATTTCTCTTGCTTTAATTAGAATGGAGTGAGGTTTCTAACATTTCCTGCCTGTGTGCATGTGGATTAGTGCTGTTAACTGAAGTTTTTTATTTCTCTGGGGAGGAAAAACAAATAAGTCCTGTTGTTATTTTCAGGGTGGACCTATGGAACAATGGAAATTTGGTACAAGATATCTTCCTAGGAGAAATTAAAGTTCCTGTGAAGGTGTTAAGAAATGATTCCTTTCAAGCATGGTGAGAAATAATGGCTCAAAAGTTAATTTAATTCTATGCTGCCTATCTTCCCTTGCAAAGATGTTTTATTCTTATTTTTCATTGGAGTACATTATCCTGCTTGAATTGCAGTAGTCTGGTTCATCTGAATAAGATTACAATTTTGTACACGAAAGGGAGCATTTTCTTGCTGAATGTATTAACCTTACCAGAGGGTTCATGTACCTCTTCTGTTTTGCCAGTCTGTCTACTCCTGCTAAATATGTAATGTATTTGAGTGGAAAGTGCAGAGAGTAAAGAAAAGGAAAGCTGAACATAGCTGTCTGTCAGCTTGCTGAATTTTAGTGATCTGTATATGATTTTCAGATTAACCAGAAAACCTGGAACTTCTCTTGTAATTAAATTTGTTAGCTTTCCAGAATGACTGAAAAGTCAGACAGTATCCATATCTTAGAGTTCAACTTTGATATATCTAAGGTTTTAATCTTAGCATTTGAGTACAATTCTAAATGTGATAAACGCCCATGTCAGCATTTTGCAATACACTAAGTGAAAAAAACAAGATTCGGACTTGATTGTCCAGCACTCTGAGCTGATCAAAAGCCACCTGACCATACTAACATAATGACATACCTCACTTGAAAGCATGCCAAGAGAAAAGTTGCCTTAGCATGGACTTACTGCCACACAGTGTGTTTGTATAGCTTTTTGAATTGGACATGGCTCATGCACACTAGACTTGAAGTGTAGAGGGCCTTCTGTTTGCTAATATACTTTGTATGTGTACTTTGCACGTGAAGATCCCCCTAATCCAATTATAACCTGCTTATAAACATCAGTCTGTGATCTAGAAGCACTTTTTCTGTTTTTATTACTAATTTACGTGAAATGCTTTGAAATGCAATCGGACTACAGAATATAAAGCAGCATCACTAGTACTAAGTATTGGAAAGATAAGCCTGATCCATGCTGTCGAGGCATTCCTTGTAAATTAGTTGTGTGTTGTGTTAGCGTGCCTTCAAGGCAATGCATCTGATTATTAGGAAGAAAAAAGTCCAGTCTCCTAATTGTCTAAGTATACGTGATCATGAAATATTTGAAGTTGGACAGCCAAATGGTGAAATTATTCTATGGTGCCACAAGCTGTTAAAATTTTTTTTGTGGGACTGCACCTCCTGTTGGAATGAAATTGTACTACAGCAGAAGTCAAAGAAAAATTGATTTCAATGTATCTGAAGTAGGAAAAGAGCATGTATCCTAATTGAGGTACGGGAAATCTATTCTGTTTGGGAAGGCACAAGAATAGTAGTATATGTTCTATTATGTGCTGAAGATGCATGAAATACTGCTCCTTTTTTTCTTTTGTCTCAGGTTTTCTTACTGTGAATTTTATTGCCAATTGTCAGACTGGGTTCTTGTGTTACTGAAATAGTTCTATGTGGTATTTTGCATTATTCTAGAATATTGAGATTTAAATTTCATCAATTTTACTAACATTATAATTACCTCTTTTTTTTTTTTTTCAGGTACTTACTTCAACCAAGAGAAAATGGTAACAAGTCTTCTAAAACTGATGATTTGGGATCACTTAGATTAAATATTTGTTATACTGAAGACTGCGTACTTCCGTCTGAATACTACGCTTCTCTAAGAAACTTGCTGCTAAAATCATCAGATGTTCAGGTACTTCTGTTGAAAATTACTTTTCAAATGAAGACTTGAAATGGATTATGCAGTCCTGTATGAGACCACATGTGGAAGTATGCAAAGCTAGAGTTTATTTCTTTGCAGTACTTTTGTCAGAACTCACTGAGCAACTTGCAGAACACTTTGTGTTCCAAATTACCAAAATTGTCTATTTTAAAAGAACCAGCAAAGACAGTGAAGTAAGTGGTGCTGTGTGACTAGAAGTAATTCTTGTGTATTGATTGCTCTTTTCAACATTGTCTTCTCCCATTGGCTGTTGTCAGCCCCTGTATTTAGAGGTTTTCCATGGACATAGACTCATTATTGGCACAGAAGGTGTCTATAATCACCTTTGCTAAAAATGGTCTGCTTTAGAACTTTTTTTCTAATTCCACCTCTTCTGGATTGCTTTAATCTAGTCCAATGTATTAATAAGCATAACCGGATTTTTCACTTGGATACGGTGACAAAGCAACAAGTGCAGTAGATAGCAAAGCATCATGAGCCAGGAATTAAATGACAGTTAGAAGGCTTTATATTCCTTGGTCTTATGTCATTTGTTTATTTCAGTATTGATGAAGTATTAGCAGAGGAAAAGGAAGGTAAAATGGAAGCAAACCTACAAAAATTTTTGCTAGCCAACATTCAAATACTAATTCACTGGAATTCAGGAAGAGCTGGACACAGCTCACTGGCAGATGGTGGCTTTTTGGCTTGAGTACTTTATTAGTTTTGCATTAAATTCACAGCTTTATAATGGAAACAACGCTTAATGAGTGTGGAAACTGTAACTTACAACTACAGTATAGAAAGTCCTGCAAAGGTATATGGCTTATAGTTGTACAGCTGCTGACTGCCTCTTTCTGTCTCTGGGACAAAGCTGTGTTCTTATCCTCTTAGGAGAGTAGAGAAGGTGAATTTCATTCTTAATGTTAAGTATAGAGTTGATAATAATCAATTTTGAATTAAATATTTCAAGAGAATGGAAACTTATAATTTCCATAGCAAACATTGAAGCTTTCTGTTGAGAGGCTCATCTGTAATCTAGCTAGATTTGACTCAATCTGTACTTTACCACATGTTAGAAGAGCACTTAAGTGCTTCACTCACGATTTTTTTGTTCTGCTTTTCCATAGCCAATTTCTGCATCTGCTGCCTATATACTATGTGAAGTTTGTCGAGACAAGTATGATGCTGTTCTGCCTCTTGTACGCTTGCTACTACACCACCATAAGCTAGTTCCATTTGTTGCTGCAGTGGCAGAACTAGATCTGAAGGACACTCAGTATGTATTCCACATCAAGTTATTTCATGTCTTGTAAAATTGTTTGTATTTCCGCAGGACTTAACGATACAACACTGATAAATGACCATGTCAGATCTAATTATCTCATGTAAAACCTGTAGTGTGCTCTCTGTGGTTAGGAGATAAATGAAGTAGACCTGAGTAGTGGCTTCTGAGGCACAGAGTTATGTCCGCAGAGGGGATTTTATCACCACGGCATGGTTCATTTCAAAGCTGACTTAAGCAAGGTTTAATTTAAGATAAAACAGTTCAGCTGTGTTGAAAGAAGTTACTTGTGGAAAATAAATTTTTTATACTGCATTTTGGTACACGCATTCCTTTGTCATATTTTTAACTATAACTGGAGATTAACTAATCTAATTAATTAGACTAGAAAGGCTTATTTTGCACAACTGTAATGAACAGCTATAACACAATCCTAAATGAAGTATATTTTGATTGAGTTTGTCAGTGTAGCTTTAAATTTCTGAACCAGGAGCACTGGAGAAGTAGTAGTATATCAGTCAGGTACAAGTCTTCATTATTTGGGGAATTTTCTCTATTTGTTTTCTCTCACATTCAACACTGAATTATATCTTCCTTTGTCTAGAATTTCTCAGGCTTTTCCCTGCAATTTTTATTTGTTCCTTGTTTTGCTAGTAGCTATTGTTATTTATTCTTTCTGTTCACTGGGTGCCATCATGATGGGCCTGGGTTCCTAGGTTCCGAAATTCCTGGCTGAAATATATAATGAGATGTTTTTAAAAAAGTAATAGCAGGAAAAAATATTACACGCTGTTGTACATGAGTTTGTTTTTCCCCACATCAATTATTTTCTTACAGAGAAGCAAACACAATCTTCAGAGGGAACTCATTAGCAACTCGCTGTGTAGATGAAATGATGAAAATAGTGGGAAAACACTACCTAAAGGTTACTTTGAAACCAGTTATTGATGAGGTAGGTTACTGTACTGAATCCATTTGCATGACTCTGGTGGAGTATCTGGTCTCTTTGATAGGCGTTCATCTAGTTTGCAGTGTGACAGTCATGATTCAGGTGAAGGAATTCTAGAGGAAAATTTAATTGAGTAATAATTGGTTACGAAGTTGCTTGTGAATGATTGGTTAGGAGTTGCTTTTTCAGTTGTGTTGTAGGTGCTTGGCAATAGTCAGTGGCAGTTGTTCCAACAGTGCAGAATTGCCCGTATGATGCTTTATACAATTGATCCATGTAAAAATGCAGATACATAAAATTAGGATGATTGTTGCATAATATCATGTTCAGAACCATTTAGAATTCTATCCCTAGTTCTAGGCCAGTCTAGTTTTAAAGGTGTATTTCCATGCATTCTTTCTGAAAAATGGAATTCTTAACAGTGTTGTTTATTTCAGATATGTGAGTCCCCTAAACCCTGTGAAATAGATCCCATCAAATTAAGAGAAGGTGATAATGTAGAAGCTAATATGGTGAGTTTCTTAATCTGTTTTTTCTAATTTAAGGTATCTCAAATCTAATTAAAAAAAAAAAAAAAAAATGTAAAACACCTCTGTATATCTGAAAATGAGTAACTTAAAGCAATTTCCAAACGGACTAGGAAAAGCTAGAGGATTACCAGATCATCAGTTTATTGGGTGTTTTGATTACTGATATTCCATACATTCAGTTGCTGACATAGCTAACTAGTACTGTTCCAAGACATTTCACTGAGCTTTTGCTTGATGCTTGCCTGTTACTGGAGGATTATGTAAAAAGCAGCAGTAGCTGCCACAAACTAACATTCGCTAGGGATGCATGGGGCATGCACTGTTTTATGTTGTCTGATCATGAAAATGTCTTGATCTGTAGTTTTATACTGCTAGACACTGCTTATGTGTTGTAATGTATCGTTAAAAAATCTGTTAATGTTATTAATCCCATATTAATACAACAAAGCTTCTTAAATGGTGCGCAGTACTAAAATGGAATAACTGAATAGTTGAGCAGTGTTTGGAAAAAGAGTTGTAGAGTTGTGTGTGTTCAGGGAAAAGCCATAGTTGATGGTCTGAAAAATAACATTTTCTCCATAATTACAGGAAAATCTACGCTATTATGTAGACAAAGTATTCCGTGAAATTGTGCGGTCAAGTATAAGTTGCCCTACCCTAATGTGTGATGTTTTTTATTCTTTGAGGCATCTGGCTGCTAAGAGATTTCCAAGTAAGTGTTCTTTTTTAGAAAGTAATAATACATTTGGAAATGATGTTGCCAATGAGATGCTTTTTTTCTGCAGTTATCTTACGGGCACTGTTACAATTTTTGCTTTTTCCCAAAAGGCTTCTGAATTTCTTACCTTACCAATCAGGTATTTAGTTTTTGGGTCAGACTGTATGCTATAGTAAAACTGTGGTCAGTCAGCAAGAACTGTGTTCTCTGATACTGTGCATATTCTTTGATGCACTGCAGAATGGTAGTGAAAAAGAAGCCACCAACATAAGCATAGATACTTTTGCTTTTTTTTTTCCCAATAATGCAGGAAATTTAATTGATTTAATTGAAAGATACTTACAATTCAGAAGTGCTGACCTGTTTATGGGTCCAGTTAAAGCTTTATTACCTTACAGGTCAAGGCTTTGCAGAAGATAGAATAGATGAAATATGCATTTATAATGCTGTGATAAATGTTAGAAAACTTCCATTCTTTCGCTGTGATTTTAATATTAGTATAACATGCTGAGTGTGAAATAGTCAGATATGTAAGCCTAAAATGTCATATATTAGGCCATCAGTTAAGAATATGTTTTTATTATCTGGGTACTGCCTCTGATTAATATTTATCACTGTAATTGGGTCACAAATTCCTCTGGCTAGAACAGTCCTTTCAAAACAAATGACTTGCCAGAGAGATCAGACTGAAGTAGTCATTTAGATTAAGAATGCATCCCCACTATATTACCCAGTAAGCTAAACCAAAATATTGAAGTATTTGGAGCTTCAAAATTACATACAGCCTTGTGCGACTCAGGATTGGAACTGAAGATGTTTGTATGTGTTGACTGCATTTGTTTTGCAGTGTTAATGCATGTGAAATTATTAGTCTTAATTGTAAATAATGTGATAGGCCTTGTTGTTAAGGCTAGCTGCTACAGTATCTTCTCTTTAGGTTAAACATGTACCCAACCTTATCTAGTCAACACAGCGTGTACGTGAATGCTTGAGACGATTTCATTGTTCCTAATGTGGAGCTGATGAGCCAGTTCTGTGAGAACAGAGCTTCTAAGGGAAATAAATCCTCCATTATAAGTAGAATGCTTTTTCCCATGACCACATTTCTCATTTCATGTGCTTCATTGATTTTTCTATTCTTCTTTAAGATGTAAATGTCTTTTCTGACGTTATCTTCTTAACGAGTTTTATGTTGACTGTCTCATTATTTCTTATTGAGCTTAGTGCATGTTACATTTCATGGTTTTTCTCTGCAGATGACCCTCATGTACAGTATTCTGCAGTGAGCAGCTTTGTGTTCCTTCGTTTCTTTGCTGTAGCCGTAGTCTCACCTCATACTTTTCATTTACGACCTCACCATCCAGTAAGTTTTGTGAAGCTTCGTTCTGTTTTATTCATATCCGTCAGATCTGTTTATCTGGCAAGGCAGAAGTTACTTTCACTGTGCTTGTTCCTGGGGCAGTAAGATCACTACTAGGTTGATGCTTTCAGTTCTATGCCTCACCAAAAGAACTAAAGTGTTCACAGTTCAAATGAGCATCAAATTTCTCAATCTTCACGAGGCATTCTCAGGTGATGTAGAAGTGCTGCTTCAGCAAGATGAACAGCAAGATGACTGAGGGATTTTTAAGGCTTATAGCCAAATTGCACTAGTTCTTCCCATCATGGAAGTTAACAGGTTACATTTTTACTTGCAAAGAGTATTTTCATGTGTTGCCTTAAACAGAAGTATTGAAGTGTCTGTAATCAATCTGTACATTTATCTAGGAGGCCAGTAGTTGCACAGAGTTGTCAAACTTTAAATTTTCAAATTGTCAATTAGATGAACATAACAAAAAACAAGAAGCAATCAAAAAATCAAAGATGGTGATGTGGAAATAAATGAAATACCATTTTATTTTCACATACAAAATATCTATGAAGCCTTTTATTTCAGAGGTTATCTTTATTGGGTTATTGCATTAATTTATGTCAATCTACTTAATGTCAAATTAGTTAGACATTATTCCATTCATTAGAGTAAAAAGAGCTGATGGGAATTTATTACTTGTGTTATACAATTTAAAGGCAGCAACGAGGCCCCTTGCTATGGCTGCTTTTCCTGAGAATCCTGAAAATTCAAGTAGAGAGGTTCTAAGTGAGGTGAAGGCCTTACAGTGTTTTAAGTTCACTTTGTATTATGAAAATTTATACTGTCTGTTCAGCAGTAATTTATTGTCTTGTGTTTTGAATAGTTTAGAAACGTGTTTGGTAACAGCTGGGGGATTTGAGGGGTCTGAGATGTTCCATACGGAAAAATATTTTTGTGTGCACTAATATTAAGTTCTTGTGGTAGTGAATAACATTAAATTGTGCAGTGGGTTGAAAAAGCATATATTTAATAAAAAAAAAATCACATTTCAAAACAATCACACATTATTAGAAGACAGCATAGCAAGTGCATTCCTTTTCTTTGGGAGAAGACATGTAATGAAGGTGTCAGATAATAGTTGGTGTTGCATTTTCATTTTTAAATCAATTTTATCTGACGTTGTTTGAAAGAAAATGTAACTTATTAACTTATTTTTGTTTCTTTATTTTAGGATGTGCAGACTTCTAGAACATTAACTCTCATATCAAAAGCCATCCAGACTTTGGGGAGTTGGGGAAGTTTGACCAAAAGTAAACTTGTAAGGCTACTACATTTCCTTCTTGTTTAACAGACTACATTCTGTGAAAGCTTATTCAAGTCCTGATATCTTTTCTTTCAGTCAAGTTTCAAGGAGACGTTCATGTGCGAGTTTTTTAAAACATTTCAGGAAGAGAAATTCACTGAATCTGTCAAAAAGGTACCTTTTAACTAGATATATCTTCTCATAGTTAATGTGTTTCAGCACTCTTATTAAAAGGTTTGTTGATGTTCAAGTTTCTTTTTTTTAAAAAAAAGCCCAATTTATATAAAAAAGAAAAACACATTACAAGTAGAATACACGTAACAGTTGTACACTGTGAGCTAATTTAATTTGGGATTGGTAGTGGGAATAAAAAATAAATTCAAACAAGTTCTATTAGACCTGCTGTTCAGTAACTTATAGAAATTTGGTGTATTTTATGGGCGTTTCTTCCTCTAAGACCCTGAAATGGGTCTTCAGCTAATCTGTTAAAGTAATTGCTTTCTACTGGAAGAAGCTGCATTTATATATTTTTTAAGTAACTTTTGGTTGTTCTGTGTTTCTGCATAGCATCAATTTTCCGTGTATTTTTCCTTAAGTTCCTAGATGATGTTTCCTCTACTGAAAGTAAAGAACCGAGTGGTCTGAGTGAGCCCATACATCTGAAAGAAGGGTAAAGAAAAATGTGTGGGAAAAGAACTGGCTTGACAGTTTTCCTTTATGCCAACATGAGATTAATACTCACTGAAATGTTTGAACTACTGTAGTAATTACAACATTTATTTGACTTAATTCTTTGATAGTTTAGAGCTGTTGATGGAAACCAATTCTGCAGACTTTTCAGTCAACGTGTAACACTTGTGGGGGGAAAATTAGAAGCAACTTTTAAAATCTTTTTAAGTCTGCATTTTTGTTAGTTTGGTTTGTGCTTTGATGATGATTAATTCAGAATTATGAAAAAATGGTTTAAAATAATGTAACACGTGATTACTTTGTGTGATGCTTAAGTTCAGTCAGCTAGATCTTCCTTTATAGCAGGGGAAAAAATAACCTTGTAATTGTATAGTTAACTGTATATTATAAAATGTTTTTATAAATTTTACGGTGAAAATCATTAATTCTAAGAAATGAGCAAGCTGTTTTCTGATGTTGATTAAAAAAAGAAAAAAACAATTGAGAAATTCATCAATTTATGAGGAAAAAGAACTTTGTGTTCACCTGAGAAGCAGATGCAAACTAGGCAAAGATTTTTCTTTGGAAAAAAAAAATCTGAATTTTAAATAAAAATATAATAATTAAAATAGTGAATAAAAATGATCATGTAGTTGATTACATCTTACTCCCTTCTTGAAAATTTCAAGTTTGGGATCTGAGTAAGTGAGTGTCATTCCCCATACTCACTGCTGTTTTTCGCACTCTTAACCTGTAAATGGAACCCTCTACACAATCAGCATACTGGGAGGTAATCTTGAGGACTCATTTCCAGCAAATAGATCTTTAATTGCAATGAAATCGACTGTGTTGCATGATGAGTAATGATGTGCTCTCGCATGGTTCTGAAAGCTCTCTGGAAGATGAAAGTTGCATTTTCGTTTGATTCTGTTGTTACAGAGAAATGTACAAAAGAGCTCAGGGAAGGACTCGGATTGGTAAAAAGAACTTCAAGAAGCGGTGGTTCTGTCTGACAAGTAGAGAATTCACCTACCACAAACAGCAAGGTTAACTGTGTTTTACAGTTACTTCTATTTTCTCAATATGTTCTGTTTGTATCTGAACTTGACTACTTAAAACTCATACTTTTTCATACAGGACTTGATAGATTTGTTACCTTTTGTTCTGTTTACCACATGCTCTTGAACTGAGGTGTAGAATCATATTTGTCTTGTAGAAAGCCTTTAAAGCACAGGTAAATGAACTCAACTGTGCACAATTGAGATTTGAAGACCAAAATAACTGGCAGTTTGAGAGGTCTAAGGTCTGCACTAGGGTAGTGAGATTCTTAGCTCCTTAGGAGAGCTTGAGACCATTTAGGCTGGAAGTAATCTCAGCTCTCAAACCTTAGTTACAGCCACCCATGTTCCTGGGAATTTCTAGTTTAGTGCAGCAGTATTTATTCCTGTTCTTGCAGTAAGGAATTTATTAAACATGAACGCTGGTAACTGATAAAATGTAAGTTAGGTATGATTTTTATTTATTTTTTGTTTAGTCAGTTCTCTGCTTCAGGGTTGCATAATAACTTAAGCAGATGCATCCGTGATAAATGGCAGGTACATTTTCCAAGCCTTTTTGTGTCTTGCTGGGACTTAGTGAGGTTTTTAAGCTCTTGCATCTTTATAGAGGATAGTCAATAATTTTTGTATTTTTTCTCAATCTCAAAAAAAAAAAAAAAAAAAAGGAGATTTTGAGAACTTAATAGAGTCAGTGTGCTGAGTTTACAAAATATTTTTTTGTTTCACACTTGTTATTTGTTTACAAAATTTTACAGATAAGGAACCGATTTTCACTATTCCAATCAAAAACATTCTTGCAGTGGAGAAGCTTGATGAGAGCTCCTTCAACAAGAAAAATGTAAGTCAGAAGATGATTTCTCTCTAATCCTTGATTTGTTCTCAAAATAAGAGGTTCAAATTAGCTTAATAAACTCCTAAATATTACAACAAAGTAGATTTGTTGTATTAACCGGGGTGGGGGGGCAAGGTATTCCGTCTTTTGACTCTTCTGAATACAGAACTTAGCCCAGGGATTCAGACTTCTGAATGGTTTATGACTTGCCCCCCTTTCCAAGTACCTAGAATGCAGATTAAAACTACTGTGACCTTATAACAGAGCACTTTTGTGTAAGGTAGTAGTAGTATGTATTGCATTATGTTCTGATGTAATGAAATGTAATATTACCTAACTTGTGTTTATTTCTTTTGATGAGAAATTCTATAATAATAATCTGAGACAGTTGTTCCTACAGCCTCATTCTGGACCTGTAGCACATTCTGTCCTTACATCAATCCAAAATTGAGGCAGTGATGAAGTACAGCTGTTACTTAGGGTGAGCATGGCTAAAGGAGAGAGACCTCTGGGAGTCTTCTGTTATTCTTAGGATATAAAGTACAAAATCTGAGGTGACATCTAAAGAGACCTGAATGAGGAGGACATTTTTGTGTTACTATTTAAGCCTGTTTTGGATGAAAAACTTGAACTCAGCTGTTGGGTTCTTTTTTTTTTTTTTTTTTTTTTTTTTTTAGGATTCTATAATAAAATGAGAGAGGTAAAAAGTCCTTTTCTCTCTTTCTTATCTCACTTCTAGTTTTAATTCGGCTTTGATAAATAGCATGAGATTTGAAACTTACTTTGAATGCATTCAAAATAGATCAATAATTGGATTTTATTTACTGAACAGAGTTGTGTTTATTGCATTCTTTCTGCAGATGTTTCAAGTACTACATGGAGAAAAGCCACTCTATATCCAAGCAAATAACTGTGTAGAAGCTAGTGAGTGGATAGAAGCTCTCTGTCGAGTAACAAGATGCAACCAGAAGAGACTTAGTTTTTACCACCCTTCGGCTTTTTTGAATGGCAACTGGCTTTGCTGCAAGGCTACAGTAGAGAACACAGTGGGCTGCGCTCGTTGCACTGCGTAAGTTGCTTCTCAAATGAAAATGTGTATGTTTGGTAAGACCCATCACAGATGACTCGCTGTACAACTTGAGAATCTGTAGGCAAGGCTTTCCATCTGCTGCAGTCAGTTACTAAGAACATGCACCTGAAGTACTAGATTTACTAAAATCTGTTCACCACCCTGGATAACGTTATGGGTACCAATTCAGTGTGTAGATCGGAAATACTGAATGGTTTATTTTCCTATGCAGGATAATGTATTTTATAGCTAATGGAACTTGTGCTGACAGTTGGGTTGCCTCGTGTGTTTGTATCACATTGGTCATCTGTAGAAATTTTGCATAGTAATAGTTTTGAAAGTGTGTAGCATAGGGATGTGGGAGTTTTATGCCATGCGTGGTGTTTCCTGACTAAGAAAGAACTTGATGCATGAACTGGTCTACTTGCTCGTTTATTAGCGGTTCCTTTTTCTCTCTTGCTGGCTGTGTTCTGAACTACTAGAGTGAACTGAATGGTATCACGTGGGTCTGTACTGTAACACTGGCTGTTCAAAGCACCTCTGAAACTGGCATTTTTACCTGTTTGTCCTCTATGCTTGTAGTGTGCACAGTTAATGCAGAGCTTGTTGGAGAGAAAACATCAGTGGTAGTTACCTACTTTGTGTTAGAACCTTGGCTGGTGATAATTCTTCCTTTGAGAGCTGTTACATCTAGTGCAAATAAAGACAGAGATGGGATTTCTCAAGTTTGAATGCAGAAGTAGCTCATTATATATATAGTATTTTTTGTGTAATTTGATTCATTCATCTATTACGTTTCTTAACAGCTTAAAAGATTCCCATTATTAAAAATCTTCTTGTTTCTGTCTTTCTGTTGTGGAAATTACCTTGTTCTCTTGTTCTATCAATACTTGAAAGGTAAACAGGTCTTAAAAGCTGTGTTGAATTGTCTGTTAATAACAGTTAATCTTGGATATTTAAAAAGTATTTTAGTCTTGATCTATTGCATAATTAATTCTATTGAGAAACAGGATTTTTAGTACAGCTGTATTCATTGTCCTCAAAACTACTCCTGTTTCTATAAGACTTACAATGAGTGCTGAATTTTCTGTAGGAATTGTGAAGCTATCAGAGTAATAGGCATATTAAAAAGCCTAAATGTAATCAGTTAAATGTAATGTAATTTAAATGTACTTTTAAAATGTAATCAGTTCAGATTTGCTTTCAAACCTTTAGAGAATGACTTGGATTACTCATTTTCTGTTTTTTCATTTTTTAGAGATGTTCCTGCTGATACTCAAATTGAGATTGATGGAGACAGAGAGACAGAAAGAATTTACTCACTTTTCACCATCAACATGTCTAAACTTCAGAAGCTGGAAGGTACTCAAGTAGTAATTCAGAAGAATTATACTGTATTTTTCAACTCTCATTCTTTAGGTCTCTAACATCTACTTGGTCTTAACTATTTACTTGAAAATAGCAAACTAGAGACAGAATATACATAGGTAATGCCTCCTGTTTATTTCCATGAAAACTACATCAGATATAAAGAGTGTGATGACAATATTTAGCAAATTCTCAGCTACAAAACACTATTTTTCATTGTAGCCACTGCTGAAATTTTTACCACCCGCCACCTTGCTGTATTGACATCCACTGTTTGATCTCCATACATGTTCGGAATGCGCCACTGAATGTTCAATTTTTTCTCCTGGAGGAGAATTCAGTGGCACACCTTTCTTTCGTACACAGTTCCATGTCAGATGCCATTTTGCCAGACTTCCCTTCTGCTGCCATCTGTCACATGGCAACAGAAAGTAATGGGATATTGATGGAAAGGTTCGACTTCTATTGCCAGACCACCAACATCTGCCTCTGATGTCATGGGTCAGTATAATAACATAGGAGGCATTATTTTCAGAGCAGTTCTTGTATTTTTTGAGTGTTTAGTACACTAGTAACAGACACTGTTCAGACGTTTCTTAGCAATGGACATCAGGTGTGCACATTGGTGTGCATATTAATATTATAATATTATTCTAACTGAATTTGCGTATAAAAATTCTGAAATAGTCTAAGCAAAGATAGCAATTATAGTTGTTTGCTTTTCTGTCCCTGACCTCATTTTCCTGGCTATGACATGAATTATATGCCACGTAGCTGAGTTACAACAAAACATTGATTTTTTTTTTTTTTTTTTTAATTTTTTTTTTCAGTTAGGAAGGAGCTGAATAATCAGGATGCAGGACCAGTGGAGAGCAAGCAATAGAACAACAAATACATCTAGTTGATACTGTTTTCTATCTCAGTCTGTTGTATGCATAAGCTAGAGTGATATCGCTTTTCAGAACTTCAGAATCCTCGTTTACATGGTGAGAGTTAAATATGTTTATTCACGGCCAAAATCTAATTGGGATTTTGTGATTATTTCTGTAGAGGCTTGTGGAAGCATAGCTGTCTATCAGGGGCCTCGGAAAGAACCAGATGACTACTCTAACTTCACAATTGAAGATTCTGTGGCAACTTTTCATACGCTTAAACAGATAATAGATACAGTAGAAAAGCTGAATGAATCGCATGAAAAATACCAGAAGAAGAGATCGTCCAGTGCTGAATATGGTAGTGAGTAAGTATTTTAAAGGATTTTGACATACAAATATTTACTAACAGAAATATAAGAAGCAAATACAAAAGTTCAGGTAGCAATAACTAAACCAAAATTAGTTTTAGACTACCGGAAGACATGGAGGAAAATAAGGAAAATGAAGGAAAATAATTTCCTTCATTTGTAATAGAGCAGCTCTTCACCAGTTGATAGATGATAGCTGGTGCCAGAAGAATATCGTTTCATCTGTGTTTGTGTTGAGATTCCCATAAACAATGAGTCTGTTGTTTTCTTGCAATCTAAAGTTTGTGTGTGCTTCACGTGTTAACCTGAACTGTCTCCTAACATTCCTTAAAACATTCCTTAAAATATTATGTTTCTTAAAATATAAAGTTGTCTTGTCAAATTTCAGTTAAGGAGTTCAATTGTCTGACTACCTTCTAGTGCTTTTTTTTAACTTGAATTCTTTTTATCAAGCATCAGTTAAGAAAGCTAAATTATCAGATTCTATGTAACTGAAAATTATACCGAAAACAAACATTTTTTACGTACTTTAAGTTCTCTTGTCATGCTCAGTGATAAATGCAATCTTTTAAAATTGAATTTAAAAAAAATTTTTTTTTAAGTTCACTATTGCTCCAGAGCTGATTCTTTTGATTCTCCTCGATCCGAGCTTTTGTCCACAGAGCAACACCAGTCAAATTTTGTTTTCTTTGTTGCACCAGTAATATAAATGTTATTTTCAGAAGAAAGAATGCTACAGTAATCTCATTCCCCTACTTTGATACTGGGCTCAGGTTGTTCCAAACAACTGACAATTGATTTACAAGTTTCATACGCAAGTACATAAAGCTTTATGCAAATCACAAATATCCATAAATTATGCAAAAGAGCAGTTTTTCTTAATGAGTAAAAAAATGAGTGAAAGAATTAAAAAGCAAATGTTAACCATTAAAAATATTTACATGTAATGTTTTCTTTTTTTCCAGAAAAAATCCAATTGGAAAGGTTTCCTAACCAAAACCAACTATGGCAGACTTGGAAAAAAAGAAACTGGAAACATTCTCAAGTGTTCTGTTCTTTTGTTTTGTTTCATTTTGTAGTTCATCATGTGCATTTTCACAAAGTATTTAAAAATGAAATAGATGCTAGTTGTGTTGACAATCTATTTAATATTTAATAGAAAGCTAGCTACTTGGAAATCTGGTCTTTTAAAGTTTATTCTCATTTTGCTGAAGAACTTAAAGTTCCAGGTTCTGAAAGTAACAAATGTGAATAAATCTAAGAGTTGTTTGCTGTTTCAGGACAGAATTTTCTAAACAAATAAGCTTTTTAATGGAAGAAAATCAATGTGACGTTTGGTTGTATTGCATCTCTTAATGCATGTACTGCAAACTTGTAAGAGTTTACCATGAGTGCCTGCCCTGCTGATAACAATCTTGAAATAGAAATCCCAACATACTCTGTCATAGGGATCTGAAGTTTCACACTCAACTCATTTGACTTTTTTTTTTTTTTTCTTATATTAGGTGTTGTCAGAACTTGGTCTAACTAAAGCAGTATGTTGCAGACAGCAGACACCAGAGTTTAGGTTTTGTTGTTTTTTAAGTACTAAAGAAGAAGAAATCAGGGAACTTTTATTATGCCTCCTGTTTACATTTGGAGTGAGTAGTATATGGAGTGACGTGAGACCACTATCAATTTCCTCTGAGGTACTTTTTTAAGGTACATTTTTTTTCTTAATCTGAAAACAAATGCAGGGTAGCAGTGTTCTTCATAAATAAGTTTGCCTATGGATAAAACAAACAAACTCAAATGTGAACTGATTATGGTTAAGTACCAATCAATCTACATCATTCCGCTTATGGTTTTTTGATTAAAAAATATAATAGCTAGGTTCAGTTCATCATTTGACTACAAATCTAATAAATAATCTCTATTATAATCACTCAAAGCACTTTAGATATCTGGACTATCCCAGATTATTTTTAGATACTTTGTAGTATCTGCTTGTTATGATCAGTTCAATGATCAACATTGTTTTTCTTTAAACAATGCTTCAGTGAATATTTTTATATCTTTAGTTATATGAATTCTTATTTGCCAATTAACACAATTTTTAAACTGTCATTCTTGACTCTACTAAGATTAATTTTTGCTCATTTCATCTGAGAAGTTAGGTTTCTGCTGAAAGAACTTATGTATATAACCAGGAAGAAGCAAAGATGGCAACTTTGCTTCATCAGTATTAAATATAATGGTACTCCTTGGAATACTATTTTTAACAATAACTGTATGTGGTACTTTTTATTTTTGGAGCATTTGCTGTGGGATCTTCTGTTGTTTATTTGTTGGTGTGTTTTGTTTTACAATCATGATTTTGGCCAAATTAATTGGAAATGTGACATACAAATAGAGTAGAAGTCCACAATGCTTGAAAACTGTAAGCTGTTTCAATTACTATACGTTTGTAACACTGTTGTAGGGAGGTTTTCTGTAATAGAAGCACACTGGCAAGACAAGATTGAATTATTTTTTTTTAATGAATGTAACTTGTTAAAATAACTATTCGTTTTAACCATACAAACCACAATAGAATGTCTGGGAATCAGTACTGGTATCTGCAAAGCCACAATCATTCAGTCACCTCCACTGTTTTTGCCTTTACTTAAACAATTTTGATGTATTTTCGTTTGCCAACGGTTGAAATTGGAGTGGTGGGAATCATACTAATGCCAAGAAATGTGTTTTGCCAAGGTAAATTGGGTCTATGTAATTGCCATTAAAGTTGCCATTAAACAAAAATTTAAGTGCTTTCATCTGTCAAAGTTAGTTTGTGCTGTACGTTGATTAACACTGTGGCAAAGCATGTCTTCCTTGGGGCCATTTTTTAAAGGTTTCATAATCCAAATTATGGAAAAACACTTTGAACTTTAAAAAAAAAAATGTTAATAATGAAGACAATGCACTTTTTTCTTTGATGGTACTGGAAAAAGAGCAAAGGCCGCTGAATTGTGATCAGTAGGATTTAATTTCTCATTTTTATAATGTTTCAAAACACAGTAGATGTTCTAGAATTTAATTAGGTACAAGTAGGATGATTAATAATTAAAGTTGCCTTCATTTTGATTAGTCTAGAAACATGATGTTATTCAGTAATTAGTTCTGTTGGGATTGTAAATTATCATTAGTTTCAATTTGTATTATGCTGATGTATTGTTGAATGTATTTTTATTTAAATTTTATTTTCTTATCAAGACATTAAAATGTTTTGTAACATTGCTTGAGAATAACTCATAAATAAATTTCAACAAACTCGAGATATGCTGTGCTCTTACTGTGAGGCCTGGCTTTTGAAAATGTAGACTTGAAGACTGACTAAATAGGAGTTTCCATACAGGAGGTGGTTATAACAAAATAAGTATCTGGTATGCAGAAGGAAAAAAAAAAACCAACAACTTTAATTTGAGGGATTTTTTGTGGTCATCTACAGCATCACTGCAGTCTAACTTAGGGTTATGGCTGAGAGAGAAGCGCTACTTCATAGCATAGCAGTGTACATAAGAAGCTTCAGTAAGGTGACAGTTCTGAAGTGTTTACAACACCTAGTCTGATGTATTAAAGGATATCTAATTCTGGTGTTAGATAATACATTTTCTTCCTTTATTTGTTATCTATCTAGGATACCAGTGTTATATACACATCAGAGCTATTTTAAATAGATTGCATATGGAGAAAAAATAATTATTTTTGTCACCTGCTGTTCTCCCTTTGTTTTTAGGTGTTTTTAGAAGATAACAGTGTAGTTATCTTCTAAGTTAGTTATCTTCTTGAGTTATCTTCTACAGTTACTGTGTAGTTACTGCCTTGATGTTTTATTTCCTTGTATGGAGAGCTGACCTGTTGTCACTTATTGCCGATATGGAAGTTCTTATTAGGAGTTAGAGTCCAGACTGTCAGCATTTTGGAATAAATTTATATTAATTCTAAGGTAAGCTGTATTAAAGCCCAGTCTTAACATACTGCAACCATTTGCAGAGATTCAGAAAGTAGAGGAAGTTTAAGATGAAAGAAATGTAGAAAGAATTTTTTCCTTGAGCACTCCAAACAAATTTGTAAAGATTCTCTGGCAATTTTAGCAGTGCTCTGTTCTATTCACAGCTAACGTGAGCATGATGTGACATTAATTCATGCTTACTTGTACATAATTTAAAGTACTAAGTTCTTTAGCATTTACTTACGATGATAAACTCATTCAACTTTTCTTTTATTCCATATGCATGCTCTTTTTTTAAAGATCAGACCAGCAAACAAAAGCTCCCAGAAACAAACAAGCATAACTTCTAGCAGAATGGGAGAATGCATGCAACTTAACTGAGGAACTCATGGGCAGATGCAAAAAGATATGTAAGGTTTGTATGATTTATGCAGACTAGCTTGTTCAGCCTTGATGAGACTACTGCCAGAATGCTTTGTCAGTTACTGAAATTCTGCAATAAAAGTTACTGTGAGAAAAGATTTTGATGTACCTGCATCAAGGTCTGGAACTTGATAATCTACAGCTCTGCAATATCAGAATAAAGTTTAATGTGGGGTTTCCTTTTTCTTTTGTATTGAGGAAATACACAAAGTGTTTCTCTTCTGACATTGAAATTTTTACACAACCATGTTAAACTGCTTTTTACTTATCCTTTACATCGATTTATGTAGACATTTCTAATCTTGCTGCATACGATGCTCCATTCAGTTGCAATAACTGAGCTTTTAATGATTTGAGGTCATAATTATTTTAGCTTATTTGGTATTGCAAGTGCTGTGCAGTTGTGTGTTTATAGCGTAGTTAAGTTTCACCAAAAGGAAGCTAGGAATCTTTATAAAAGCATTTTAGAAACATTCTATGCCTTTCAGAGCAAAGTAGCTTGCTCTAAAGGTCTGTGCCTTTTCTCTCTCATCCTCTATTTCTGGTTATTCTTCTTAAGCAGAACAAAAAGACAATCATAGAACAGCTCGATTTACTGTGACTTGAATTCAATATTTAAAGATAAAAATTTCTTACCCAGTCCTGCTGAGATAGCACTGTAGAAGCATTTGGTTTCTCAAAAAGTGCAAGATATCCCCTCTTTTAGTCCAGACTGGTGTTTGAGTGGAAAAAAATGCACTGTGTCAGGGAGCAAAGAGTGATGAAAAGCAAAAGGCAGCCGATTGTTGATGGAATGTTTTCCTCCTATATGAGCGTGAGGGCACTGTACCTACGGAAGGGTTACCTCAGGAGCCAGCTAGCAGCATGGGGGTGGAAACTGCACATGTTGAACACAGTCTGCAGCTAAGTCTCTTGCAGACCCTTTGATGTTGCTGCTGGGTGACAGAGAAACAAGCCTTCATCGGATGACAAGTGGTCTGCAGACTGTAGAATTAGGAAAAGGGAAACTCCCCTGCAAAAATCAAGGTACAGTCATACAATCATACTCAGATCTGATGTTCATGATACAGTTTTATCCTTAAACCTATGAAGTACTTTACAAGGGGAAGGGTAAGTAGGTACAGTTCAGCCTCTTCTTTCCATGTAGGTGGCAGTACAGTTCTATATGTTGTTTAGAAATGCGATTTAAAGAGTGTCTCTTCATAACTTGACAAGACGATAACCTGCTTTTCAGTTCAGAATGTAGTTCCATTCTTAAACAGCTAAACTCAGTTAAAATAAGTATAATCTTGTCTTAACAGTTAATTTGTTAAAAAAGTTAATAAATGGCATATGAGATGAGCTTTGAGTTTGAAAATTCACACTGTATGGAGGGAATAGCAATAACTGAGCTTCACTACAAGTAAAATAATTAGCAAACAAGATTTTGCTGTAGTATTTCTTGGAATCTGAGCCATCTGTGACCTTTGTGTTGTTGGCCTTGAGATTCAGATTCAGCAGTTGTGGATGAGCTTGAGTGTTGTATGAACAGAGATGTCTCAAGGATGTAGACCTAATGGAGCAGTTCACTGAAGCCAGGAGCTGTTCAGTCTGGATTTCCAGAGAGGTTCCCACACAAAGCCATTAACTTCTTTTGTAAAAACTTCATAAGGATCTCCCTTCTGAATACTAGGTATTGATCCATTTCACTGGATATTTATAATGTGAAACGCTAACTTTGAATTTCTGGTACTTGTTAATCTTTGAATTCTTACCCATGCTTGTGTAAAATTCATGCTTAATCATATCTGAACACTGCAATATAGCTAGAATGGCCAGAATGTACTTCTTTTTAAACTCAGTTTGCTGCTCTTGGTAGCAGTGTGACTACTTCAGTCTCCTGCCCAGCGAGACCTTCCCACTGTCAAAGTAGTATTCAAGCTATTCCACTAATGCAGTATGTTTCCCAAATCCGTGTTTTTATTTTTTTTATATCTGGATGCCTGCTTCAGACTTGTGTCACAAAAACTACATATTATCTTTCAAGTATGTCTCATTTTGGTAGTTGCTTCAGGCAGCTTCAGTGAAACTTAAGGTGGTTTTCACAGGTGCACTTAGCGAGGTCTTGTCTACAACCACAATAGTATAATTAATGCTGGCATTAATGGCACTGTTGAGCATGTTCGTATTGATAGAAGGCAACAGAGAGAACCAGATGATCTAGAGTTTAAGGAACAATTTCGGCAGAGAGCTATGCTTGAATTCTTTTCTTTGGCAGATAAATTAATTTGACACAGTACTTAAGACTTCTGATATACGTTATTCTATTGACAGAGCAAACAGCAAGTGTACTAATACAGTTCAGCCTGCAAATTATTTGGCCAAGATACACAAATAGTTACATAACTGTTCGTTGCATTATCATAAAACTGACATTTCCATAACAATTTTGTTATTAGTAAAAATAACCTCAGATTCTATGTTTCAGAGTAAGCAAGCTGCAGGGGGAAAAAAAACTTCAAAAATGTTGTATGAGGAAAGAAGAAAGGAAAAATAACACAAGTCAGGTCATTTTCAAATGCTTCCGTTCTCAAAAGTCATAGAATCTATGAAAGACATAATTGTACTTTCTTCCAAACAGTCTGCAATAATTACAGTTTTAAGAGGTGCATAGGAAATGAAGGTGATCGTATAAGGGGAAGATAAGTATATAAGTAAGTAAGTTGAAATGGAATTAGGACAATAAGAAGGAATCTGGGCAAGTTTTCTGGTTTGAAATTGGGTGTCAAACACTTGGAGCCTTCCAAGTGAGTATTTGACTTAGAGACAATCAGAACCTAGAATAAATGCTTGGTGAATGATGCCATATCTTACTGTAAAATTCTTGCAGAAATATAATTGATTATAAATTGCATAATATAAACAAGTCCTAATTTTTATAACTGCTATTATGTACCACCCCATTCAGAGTTGCAAAACAAGCTGTTTTTTCACCATTTTATAACTCAAATTGCCTGTGTAGCTATAATTCTATCTGAGCAATCGTTCAATGAGCAATGAGTTCAAATTCCTTTATTAAATAAGCAATTGAGAACATTTTCAGCAAAGTCTGGATGATGTGAACCAATGCAGTCATCCCCTACCCTATGTGAAATAATTAAGTTTTATTTGTGGATTACAATGGTGCCATCTTCCTACACACTACATTCATAATGTTGTGTAACTATACAGAACAGATGAATTCCAGAGGGTCAGGACAAAACTTCTTCAAAACTTCTTGGAATCTTGATTCTATAAACTCTTCAAATGTTAAAATAACCAAGAAATTAGTTACTGGATAGGAAACTCGTTATCTTTCTATGAAGCAAAATATTCACGGGTGCTTGTATCATAACTGCTCTACAACTTGCACTGCCCAGAACAAGTGCATGTTCTTTATTTGTAACAGTAGACAAGGCAGAACGAGCCAGGGTACAAGATGAGAAGTTACCTCCTTTTTACTTTGGAAAACATTTTTCATCCTGATATTGAAAGCAGTGTGTCACCTTGGCGATTTTGCTTGTACAAAAGGGCATCTCAGCCTTTGAGAATAAACTCTGAGCTGTTTTTTCAGTTCAACTTTTATGCTCAGCAGCAAAGCTGGTTATGAGTAATGGCCTCTTGTATCAAGAAGAAATGCAGAAAGACCAGAAGGATGCTTGTAGCATAAAATGAGAAAGCACAGGGAATGGTTGCAGGTTAATACTAGCATTGCCACGTTGTTTAGATCAGTGTTGTTGTTTTTACTTGTGCCAAAGATATCACCAACGTACTACATTTTGATGGCACCCAAATGTAATTACATTATGCTTCATAGTTTGCTCATATGAATTCTTCCAAACTGAAGGGAACTACAACCAGTTTCCTTCCCATTCCTGTCAA